CTGGCTGATTATAAATTTCACTGCTATTCTGGTGCAAGCCCTAAATTTCAGTGGTTGCATACTGTATTGTCAGTGTACCTGGGCGGCAGGTGTTTTCCAGTGCCCAAAGAGTTAACAGCTTTCCTTTCACTGGTAGGTTACTTCCAAATCTGATGCAATGTTTGGCAAACTTTAGTAGTAGAAGCTAATAGCTTGATGAAGAATGCTTTTGCTCTTAAGCTTCTGAGACAAAATGGAGAAGGAAGAATTATTCACAAAGATGATGGGATGGACAAGAGGAAAAGTCCAGTAAATCACTGTTTGTTCTCTTTAGGTGTCTTGTGATATTCAAAGTTCAACAGCTGATGTGTTTTAATGTTAAAGTACAAAGATGTTTTTCTGTGCCATCTCAGCTCTGCTTGTATAACAGTGACTCAGCTCTGCAGACCTGGGTTGCAGCCTGCATTGAGATTCTGTCTGCAAGGGTATTTTCATCGCAAAAGCAGCACTGAAACTGTTTGTGGGTTAAAGAGAATCAGGAACTGTGGATGCTCTTCATCTAATAAGCAGTGTATAGCTAACACCATACTTAAAAGAACTGAGGTAGTTAAAACTACATAGTTTGTGCAGGAGAGAAAAATGTCTGGGCTTGGATTTTAGTCTTACTATTGTGGAGGGGGAAGCATTCTGGACATTCTCCTTGCCATCAAGAGATCCAAGCTGGATCTGAAAACAAAATACAAGAGGTATCACCTGTGGGCCAGTGGATGAAGGCTGTTCAGAATGGCCTTGACAGTGTTTGTTTTTGTTCACTGTTAAGAGGTTCTATTGAAACATATTAATAATGATTAACAGCGTTTTAGGACTTATTTCTTCTTTCTGTTTTTCAAGGTGCTTCTTTGCTATCCAGCTGGAAAACCTCACCCCAGAAGCCACATGCTAAATCAGCTCAGACACAGCAGAGAGAACGTGAACAAAGAGAGCTCCTTCACTGCAGTGCAGCTTGGAGCAGATCCAAAAGACTCACGCAGGAGGCAGACTGAAAAGATGCAGACAAGTAATTTTTAGAATAGACCTAGTTATTAATTGTTGCTTTCACTGGCATAACATGCAGACACAAACCTGTGATTTTAGGCTGATGGTGTCTTTATAAACGCCCTTTAGAAGTCTCCTTACATCAGAAGCCTAGTGAATTGCCACATGTTCCTCTGGGTCATTTAGACCTACAGAGAAAGACATGCCCAAGCTTGTTTATCGTGGCAGCACAGATCTTAAAGCTGTATCCCATGTGTCCTGCGAAGTCAAAATATGCTTTTTGACAAACAAAACAGGGAGACAGAGGAGTATTGCTCATTTTTCTCTTTTTACTACAAATCTAGATATCTATTTGTTTTTCTTAAGCTTTCAGCTCCTGAAGTTGGCAGCTTATTAAAAACTTTTTTTATTTAAGGTATTTTTAGCGTAAGGCTTAAAAAACAAAACCCAGATAGTTGTCTTTTTTTGGTAATCTCATAATATTACAGTCAATCTCACAGTACTTTGAATTGTGGCTATTTTTGTAACCCTTGAGCCTGGCAGTACAAGGACAAGCAGTAACATGCCACAGCTCTATTTGTCTTGTGGCTGGAACTTCAGCAAAGACTGGGCCTTATTGCAGTGTTACAGTTTTGGGGAGAAAATATTTATCTCCACAACTGTAAACAGGTAAATATAATTCTCTTGTGTCATACACAGTGAGAGAGACCTGAGGTATGTATGAGTAATATTATGAGATAGGAATATACATTGTTTTTTCCCTGTGGCAGGTAGCCCTATTTTTATCTGAACAAAGGAACAGTACTGAACTTGCTACACATACTCAGATTGCCTGACTGGCTGGCTGTCCCAGGTTAAACCCTTGTAACTAAAGATAAACAGATTGCTTCATTTGACATTGCTTATGTAGAAATGATATGCTGTTGCTAGGCCACTAGTGTACATAAAAAACAGACTCGGCTTGTGTTCTTGAATGTACAGATTCGTTGGAAACATTTCTTTGACCCCAGATTCAAAGTAGGTTGCCTTGTACTACTGCCCAATGACCTACTTTTGAAACCACTTGGAAAGAAGTAGTGTTCCCAACTGCAGGCCCCATGCCCTGGTAAAGGCTGGAACTACCTGTGCAGTCAGGCCAGTCACAAGACACAGATTTCTTTTTTCAGCTTTGCATTTATTTATATACAGTTTTCACAGTCAGCTGCTTGATGATTCTTATTCACCAAGAGCAACTAGAGGAAGAGTGGCATATAAGTTAAATACATATGCTTTGTACAACCACAACAGTTACCATACCATTTAAAAATAAACAGATCTCCTTTGTCTGTATCAAATTCAGGTAGTAAAATATTTTCTAAAGAAACTTCTGCGGTAAAGCTGAAATTCAGTAAAATGAAGTCACAAGGCCACCACCTCTGGCTTGGGAGATAGTTCTGTACACAATGTTTGAAAATGAGGCAGAATCTGGCCTGCAATACATAAACACTGCATTCTGGCTTTAAAAAGAAGTCCCTTTCAACTTGATAATCATTATCATTGAGGTAATATAAAGAATCTATCCAGATATGAAGTGTGTAACATTCAGGGCATGAGTTTACCACACGGAAAAAGCCAAGGGACAGGAAAAGAGGTACTTAAGCTCTCTGTATTCAGCCTACCCCCCCAAAACGAAAGAGGTAGGCTCTGTACAGGCATGTAGATGGCTATCGCAGATTAATAGTTAGGAGAATTGAATGAATCCAGTCAGTGGAGGCTAAAATGCTAATGGTGGCCTGTGTAGAGTGCCTTGCCTGCAGGCTATGTAGATTAGTTTAATTCTGCTAGGCCCTGGAGTTGTGTGCACAAAGCCTAGCTCTTTTGTTTCTCTCTTTTGACAGAGGGATAACTGAGGAAAATAATGAGGCTTTTTGCATGGAATTGATTAATTTAATCCATAACTGTTTTTAAAATAGAGTCTGCATTCCGTGTCAGCATGTTGCTGCCTGCAGTTGCTTTGGGTAATGTAATTTCCCTGAAGAATCAAATTTTCAGGAGCCATTGTTAACAAGGTATTTAAAGAACTACCCATGGTAGACCCATCTTATTGGGATTTTATGCTGATCTGTTGATTTGAATACTTACAACAGAAACTGAACAACAACAGTGAAAGCAGATTAGTCATAGGATTTAGCCATACTTCAAAAAAAACAAGGGAGGGCTCCTGTGTTTTCTGGTTTACCCAGAAAGGAAAAAAATGACAAATTTCTCCATCTAGAGGGACATTAAAAAACAAAGACATGCACACTAAAATCCTTAATACAAGTCTGATGTGCTCAAACACAGGCTAGTCTTTAGATTAGCCTGTGGTAATCTCCAGCTTAACAGATGTAGCCTTTCACATTTCTAAGTATTAGTTACTCGTGGCCTTCCTCCTAGGACTCCATGGTATTGTTGGCTGAGGGACACGGTTCCTGGAGCAGTGCCTGGGATATACAGCTTACACAGACCAGCCTTGGAGGAAACATTTAGTCACCCTGGCACCATGCAAACAAAACGAACCTATTGGAAACACCAAGCAAAACTGGCCACATAAAGAAAACAAATATGATATTGCCTACATCTGCCTTTTGTCCTAAATTCACGCAGCTAAATAATATTTCCAAGGTTGGTTATTGCCATGGAGCTGTCTCTGAACTTTCCAGTTACCATTTTGCTCTCTTCCTGTTCCTACACTGTGAATAATTATTGTTGGGACGATTTATTTCCTTTTTACTGTAAACCAGGAGGTGCTAGCAGACGCAAGCCCTGTTAGGGGAAAAGAACGCAAAAGGGTTTTGTTGTTGTGGTTTTTTGGTGGTTTTCTGTTTTTGTGTTTTGTTCTGTTTTTTAAAAAAGGGAAATAGAGTAGCTCCGTACTGAGTCTTGCCATTCACATATGTGGTCATGCTTTGTGAGTGGAGGCTCTGACAGCAAGTTTATCTGTCTTCACTGAAGGAGCTAGTAGCAGGTAGAAACACTGCCACATAAAAACCTTTTTGGATTTTGTGTGCTCCAGATATAATATGATATGAGTTCAGAGTCAGTCTGAAAGGTATAATGAAGCTTAATTAACACAAAGCACATTTCCACATCAGTTCATGGAAGGAAGTTGCTCCATAATCTCATCAAAGCTTTCTGTTCTGAAGGCAAGTAAACAGCCATTTGAATTTCAAATGTCAGCATTTCATCAAAGGGCTTGTTTTGCAACCTCACATTAAAGAATTGTCAGCTGGCTGAAATTGGCTCAAAGGGCTGCTCAGGAAATGGGCCGCATGACGAGGGGCACACTCACAAGTAGCAAGCGTGACACACCAGGAGTCACCAACCCTTGCCCAATACCTAAATAACATCTTTCTACCAGCTTTGCTAACTCACTTCTGCTCTTCCTGGCTTTTCCTCACAGCCACATATGACAGGACCAGCCCTACAGACTACTCCAGGCCCTGCCATAAATGCTTCATGCCACCCCCGGGAAGGGGGTCAGTCAGATGCACTGGTATTTCTGTGGGTCAACAAAAAAGCTGGCACTAAGGTAACCCCTCTTTCTCCAGGCCACTTCTCCCCCAGTCAGTGCCAGGCTCCTCTCTAAGCCTTGCCTGGGGCTGAGACAGGGGCTAAAACAAGCGCCCCAGTGCCAGGCCCATCCCTGGCGGGAGGGCTCCGGCCGCTTCCCCCTCAGCACCCCCCCTCCCGCTCTCGCCCCGCCGGCCAGTGCCGCAGCACTAACCCGCATGCGCACAACCCCCTCCCCGCCGAAATCTGCCTCCGCAAGGCGGCTCCCCCCTAGCAACAGCGCTGACCTCACCGCGCACCAATCAGCGCCAAGCAGCACCCGAATCTTCCAGAGCTTTCCTCACAGCCGCCCCCCCTCGCCCTTCTCCAGCTTCCCCCCGGATCAACCAATCAACACCCACTCTTCTTACTGCGGCACCAATCAATGTCCAACTTCCCGTTCTCGCTACTAGCCGCTTCACCGCGGCTCCGGATCCATCCGCACCCTCAGAAGTTTCTGGATTTTTAAGGGTCTGAGGTCCCACACTAAGACTACAGGACCCCTTTGCCCCCTGGAAGAGTGATCGGAGAGGAGAAAGGCGAGTATTTTTCATAACAGTGGTTTTTTACTTGGGACTAGTTTGGGAGGCGGATGGACACCTCAGCTTACGGGGGCGGTGCTTGGCTGGCAGGAACCGCATAAATACTGGTGGGACTGCGTCACGCAGTAGAGTACAGCTGCGGCGGGAGAGAGCGTTTGTTTTTGGTGTGCAACGTTCAGGGCCGGAGACGTGAGTTGACTGGTGGGAGAGTTTGGGGGATTGGAAAGGGAAAAACGGGGTGATTTTTCTGGGTGGGGAGATACAAGGTGGGGGTGGATGGTTGTCGGGCAGTATTTTTTTTGTTGGGGGGGGGAATTGTGCGGAGTCTCGTTTTACTCTGAACCATGTCGCTGAGAACGGGGGGTGGGGTGGTGTGAGATGGAAAAAAAAAACCAAAAAAACCCAAAGCCTAAAGTAAAACTGTTACCTTAGGAGAAGGAGGTAGCGTTAGGGTGAAAATGGCGGAGGCTGTGTTTGTCTTGCCCGGAAGCAGGTTGCTGAGTCACTGCCCGGGGGGGAGTAGCACGGTGTGCTGTTGTCGCAGTTCGCTACCGGGAGATCCCGCAGCAGCTGTGGGGGAGGCTGCAGTGGTGCGTCCCACTGCCGCATTGCTGCAGTGGGGATTGGGGGGGCAGGGGAGGGTCTAGGAGCCGGCTGGTGAGAAGCAATGTAAGGAATCTGTTACAGGAACGCAGCATACCGAGCGTCCGAAAGAGGTTTAGTTAGTCAAGAGCAAAGAGTTGGGGAATGGTTGTAGTAAATTTTAATTAAAAAAACATTAAGTAAAAAATCTTAACTCGTATTTATATAGTGTGAAATTGCAGCAGTAGTCCATTTATTTCAAAGTTGTTAAAGACTGTACTTACTGAGTAGCTAAAGCTGAAACTTTGGTATGTTTTGCAGTTCAAAATGCAGATTTTTGTGAAGACCCTGACTGGCAAGACCATCACCCTTGAGGTTGAGCCCAGTGACACCATTGAGAATGTGAAGGCCAAGATCCAGGACAAGGAAGGCATTCCCCCCGATCAGCAGAGGCTGATCTTTGCTGGCAAGCAGCTGGAAGACGGACGCACCTTGTCTGACTACAACATCCAGAAGGAATCCACCCTCCATCTTGTGCTGCGCCTGAGGGGAGGCATGCAGATCTTTGTGAAGACCCTGACTGGCAAGACCATCACCCTTGAGGTTGAGCCCAGTGACACCATTGAGAATGTGAAGGCCAAGATCCAGGACAAGGAAGGCATTCCCCCCGATCAGCAGAGGCTGATCTTTGCTGGCAAGCAGCTGGAAGACGGACGCACCCTGTCTGACTACAACATCCAGAAGGAATCCACTCTCCATCTTGTGCTGCGCCTGAGGGGTGGCTGTTAAGTTATTGTGCATCTTGCTTGACAAGATTGCCAATGGCACTTGTGTTTGCACTGTAGTTTAATGTCTTAAGTTAAATGCAAGGTTAATGCAAGCTTAAGTAACTGCTGAACAACTGTCTGTTGAAATGCTAATAAAGTTTTCTGTTGCACATTACAACTTGTGGTCTGTCTTGGTTCAAGCAAGTAAAACTGGTGTATTTAAGTGATGTGCTTACTTTGGCTTTCTTCCATGGCAGTTTAAGCCTCTTTGCATGTATAATGAGCACCTTGTGGATGAAACATACCTGGATTAAAGTCTTAAATTAAGCACTAATACCATGTTACTACTTCCTGGAGTTTAAGATGGCTCTATTTCTAGGAGGGATAATATGTTCTGTTAAAGACCCCAGAAAGCGACCAACCAAATAAAGGGAAAGGAGGTATGACTGTCAATACAGTGGGGTGGGCTTTGCAGCAGTGTGTGGACTTGTAGTGTGTTTAAATTAACTACTAGTTGTGAAATGAGCGTAAACAGTTCCATTGCTTGATGCTGTGAAGTGATGGGAGCCTCAGTATTTGGGGGGGGGGGGGGGCTATGTAAGCAAACATGAGTAGTTCTGTATTTTTCCAAGTGGAAAAAAACTACTGTCTATTCCAGTGACAGCCTGTTCAAAGTGAATTTTACAAAAGTGGGTGTGGGGTGTTTCTCTAGTTGGCTGAACTACATGGAACACATGATCTGGGGAAGGAGTAATTGGCAGTGGGAGTTGTTGCTGGTGCAGGGGTGGGCAGGTGGGAAGGCTGCCTTAATACATTTGCCCTAGTGAGAACTGCCTTAAATACTGAATGGCAATACATGACTGAGCAGTATAACAACTTCCTGGTTTCATTTAAGTGAAGTTTTTTTTGCATAATTATTTAATGTTGAAAGCTAGGGAGATCCCACTAAAGTCTGGTTGTGTCTTTTAATAGGGTGGGTTAAGGGGATTGCACACACAGGTGGGCTTAGAATGGTTTAGTTCAACTGTGTAGTGGTGGGTCTTAAAAGGTGTATGTAATCATCCATGTGCCCTTTCACAGAAGCTTGACCAGGTAGTAAGGGTTGTGGCTGTCAGTGTCTTGAATTTTGACAGCAGCTTCACTTGAAATGGGAGTCTTGGCATCAGTGTTTCTGTGCTGGTGCAGTTCACTTTTTACTGATAACCCTGTATTATGCACCATCTTGGTTGACTTTCATTTTTGTCCATCATAGTGTTGCTGTGAAAGTTTGTTCCTCTTGAATTTGAGCTTTCAATTTAACATTATTGTTAACGTGAGTGTCTGTGGTGAGTAATGCACTTGTACTATGAGTGCATTCTTAGCATGGATACAATCATGGCCAGCAAGTTACACTACTGTTTTCATAGAAAACTGCACATTGTAAATAAGTTCAGTGTGGTTTTGATGGTGATAACCATGATAGGTTGGTTATTTTTTTCAGCAGCAGGGCTTGCTTCCCTGTCCACGTGTCTGTGCTAGCAGAAATGTAATGTTCTGTAAACAATTGCTGTTTCTACAGTAAGAGATACTTAGATTACTTGAGTTTTCCTGCAATTGCTTCTTTTGCCTTTCCTTGATTTTACACTTTTTGCAGTTTAGCCACTTAGCCAGGTCTTGCTTTTTCCACTTAAGCCCCCTAGGCAGGTTGCCCAGAGAAGTTGTGGAGACTCCTTCCTTGGAGATGCTCAGAACCCCTCTGGACATGGTTCTGGGCAACCAGCTCCAGGTGGCCCTGGTCGAGTAGGGGGACCGAACAAGATGACCTCCAGAGGTCCCTTCCAACCCCAACCATTCCCTGATTCTGTCACTTCTGTCTTAACAACAGCCCCACTCTCTGTTCAGTACTGTATAAACTCCCTGAGCAATTTATAGTCCAGAGAGATAGGGCACTGAATAAATTTATGTTACTTATCTTTTTCTGGTGCTGATTCACACCATGATAAAACTAGCTGCTCTGTCTTCTCTGGCTCATAATTAAAGAGATGTCCTTTCTCAAGTTCTGATAAGCTGTGCTGTGTGGTAACAGTTACAGATGCTAACTGATCGGACAGTGCAGGCTGGAGGTACAGGTTGGTTTAGATACAAGTCTAAATGGCAGGTAGCCTTTTCTCCAGAGTCAAGTCACTGAAGGAGAAGCATTGCAGAAGTGTTGCTCAAAATATGTTGTGGTGCCAAGACTCACTAGGCAATGTTAGGTGCAGCTGGCTTTGTGTAGAGCTATCTTTGGGGTTTGGTCTGCTCTGCAAGAACAGGGACCCTGGAAGGTGATGTGTAGCTCTCCGAGTGGGTCTGCACCAGCTTCCCAGTGCACGCTCACTCCAGCTTTACTCCGCCTGAGCCAAACCTATGTTGAACCATGGCCTCTGCTGGTCCTTCTGGTGTTCCTGTTTGTGGATGGTCCCTAAGCGGAGCTGTGCGTGGAGTGTGCTTCGGTCTGGTGTTGCACCTGAGGTAATAAGTGGTGGGAAGAGGGGAGAATGTTCAGGCATTTTGTGATTGTGGGGAATGGCTCCAGCCTGGTTTAGGGAGCCTTGGCTGATCATGTGAAATTGAATGTATCTGTGTGTTGTTTTCCCCAGCCCTGTAGGAAGATTTCCTCAGGTGAGGCTTGTGCTGAAAGTTAATTAGCTCTGCATTTGTCTTAGTAGAAATGCCAGAGAACAGCACATCCTTAAAGCCAAAGTACAAGGGGTGAAATCTGCAGCACTTACCTGGGTGATATGCGGAGCTGGATTCTGGGATGGCTTGTGGTGAGGATGCGGGGGCACTTGTGCTGGACTTGAGCTTCTCTTGTAGGAGCTGTGTTATCGAGGCTTCTGATCCCCCAGCTAATGGAGGGGTAGCAGTCGCTAGCTGGGGGAGATGACTGCAAGGGATTTTTTCATTAACAATAAACTCTTTGCAATTTATCTTACGTGATGTGAATTAGGGAAATGTATATAAATTACTAGGAAATGTAAATATGAATTTGCATAACATGCATTGGTTACACTGAAGAAGTTCTGAACAAAAGACAAAAGTAAGATGTATCAGGCAATATGAGTGAGAATATCTTAACATACACCATTTGGGTTTTTTACAATGTGGTGGTACCTCAATTCAATCTGTTTAGACCCAACTATTCGTAACTGAAATAAGAATTTAATAGGCTTCAGCCAGTATCTGTGTGCTATTAAAATAGAATAATTCTAATGCTCACATATTGACAACAGATACTGGTAACGTCTTTTAATCCTGCTGAAAGCTGAGCTTTGTGACTGGCCTTTGGGTTTGGGGTTTTTTTATAGCTTCAGTTAATTTCTAGTCTGTTCTCTCTTAAAAAAAAAATTCCAAGATTTCAGGGGGTTTGTCTTCTGTGCTTTTAAAAAAACACTTCTGTTTTAAGAAGACAAATGAGATAACCCTGTTATAGTGGGTTTTGGATATGCTTAGTGTTTTGCTCTGTTACAAACTGCCCCAAAACCTAATCATACAGGGAAGGTGAGAGTTAAGGCAGATAAACATCGGGAATACCTCACTATTTTTGCAGTCTTGTCTGCAGTTCCAAAGGCATTGTGTAGTAGCTGCTTCAAAGATCCTTGGCTGCACAATTTTATATTTATGGAACATTGCCACATCATAAAAAACAGCCTTATTTGGAACTTGAATTTTTAAATTAGATAAGTTTGTGTTAACTATTTTGATACAAAGAGTAAGTGAATGGCTGTAATTCTCACAAGTATGTGCTTGCAACTTTTTTGCTATTTTTGAAGAATTCCCTATCGAGGCTGTTTTCATAAGCAGTAGGAATTCAGGTTTACTTCGTGGCCACTGGATGTCACTGTTTCTCCACAAAAGTGTTTTGTTACATTACCGTTGGGTTTCGTGTTTTGCTGCTGTTTGATTGTCAGTGGAGCATTCCTTCAGGCTGTAATCCTAAAGAAAGGGATACATCAAGTAGAAAGATACTTCCATTTAAGGAATAAAAGTGGATGGTTCCTTCAAAGGCCTGAGAAATATATAGATAAGAGCCTTTAAATATTATGATGTGAGACTAGTAGTTACAGAAACACTGTCATGTAAATTAATTGAGTCCCCGGGGCTATCAGACAAGTTCTGACAAAGAATTACATTTAAGAATATTTTTATTTTAGATTGAGCACTGGCTGGTGTCTCGAGAGGTATAGGATTCCATCTGTGTAACTGTAATAAATGAGGCTGCTAAAATTCATTCCTTCAGTGTGCGTTTTACATAACAGTTACATGAAAACAAAAATCTGGCCTTGCAAAAATACTTGGTATATTCCCAAGTGTGAAAGTACACCTTTAAAAGAAACAGTTTTTTCTAACCATGTAGCTTTCATGAGGTTTGAATGAAGTGCTGGCCTACTTGTTTTGGAGAGAGTTTTAATGGTCCACCCTTGCATGCTGTTATTACAGGCTTCCCTCCTCCTGTGAAGATGATTTTGAGCTGCTACTCCTTATAGTGGCTACAGATCAATGCTGTAATTAAATTACAGACACATGTAAGTGACTTTGATTTTCGATTTACAGCATACAGAAAATATGACATTAATCATAAGGCTATTATGTTTTTCGGTATTGAACAGATAATACATATTTTAGGAAATGTGCTTGTTTCCATCTTTTCAGAACACAATCTTCCTCATGCTTCCTTTTACATTCTATTTAAGCAGGTTCTGGTCATTGCTTTTCCTGCCATGAACTACTGTATTTCTTAATATATAATCTATAATTATATAATAATTATGAATATATTCAATCATAATTATGAATATAGTTGATAATATTATTAAATGAAAATTATTTATTTAAAATTTCACTTAGTAGTTAAGAGTGAAGAGAGAAGAGTTTGTCTTCTCTTTTCCTGGATTTAAGGTTTCCACAGAATGTGTGTCTCCTGTCAGGAGAAACTTTGCGCCATCAAACACATTTTCACAAGTAAAATAAGTACTGAGCAATTGCAAGTTTTCTTCTTGTTACCCCAAATAAAAGCCTCAAAAGGCAAGAGGATGACATGTTGCTTTTGAAAATTCGGGTTGGCAGATAGGTGACATTAAATTGCTTCTTTTATTCTCCCTGCATGCTGCTTTGGATGGCTTCCTCCTGAGTCCTAACAGCTATCAGGATTTTAAATTTTGGTGGCAAGATGCTTGTTAAGCATCACAACCAGGTCAGCTAGCTAGTGCACAGCAGTGACGTAATCCCATTACTGACCTCGGAACGCTGTCACCAGCAAGTGCACATTTGGGCAGCTCTTGTATTATTTTTCTGCCTTGCTTTTCCCTTCTCTGAAATGGAAGTGCAAGTGTTTACCCTAGTGTACTCTCTGAGAAAGCATGTGCGCATGTGTATGTGTGCACATACCAGTGTTTCTGTGTTCCCCCGGCAGCTCCATGTTTCTGTTTGCTGTGGTGACCTCTCAGCTGGCAGCGGTTCCTTTCCCAGCAAGCTGCACATTCTCCTTCCTCTGGGTAAGCTATTAAAACCAGATGTGCAGGAAGGACTCTGTTATGATGCACTTTTCTGGGCTGATTTCATTCCTTGGCTGGAATGGTGGCCTGACTCCCATGAAAGCTGGGGGAAAAGCCCAAGAAGATTTAAACTTGTAAGTCTGAGCTAAACTCCTGGGCCTGAATCTATGTCTGTTGATATCACAGTAAATTAAGTGTAACATGATTAAAGCAAACTGAAGTAAATCAGTGCAAGGCTGGAGTGAGGGATAAGAGAGAGGAGATTTGGTCTTTCATTTATCTGCATATGTTTGTTCTTTATAGGCTATTCTGTGGGTCCTAATAAATCATTAAGCCTGGAAAGAATAAGTAGCTTTGCGTTGTTCATGGACCAGCTTAATTTTGAAACACAGGAATCTGAGAAACAAGCTTGTGATCTCATGCAAAACCATGAAAGAGGAAAAGGCACCCTGCCATTTAATGGGTGTATTCATAGGAAGGTCATCTCACACCCTGCATCTGACTCAAAGGAGAAGCCATCTGGGAATGTTTCTGTGGGTGACAACCATGTTCCAAGAAGCCTCACATCATCCTGCAGTCCTATTGGATGAGGATTGCTTTAGGCTCTCTTTTGGCTTGTAGTAGGTTTGGAAGAAGGAAAGCCACAGCCAGAGTTCAGTGTGTCATGATGTGACACCCCTTCTCAATGTTTTTGGACCAATGATTAACTTTAGTTTGCACTTTTGAGATTTCTTGTGGAATGTGCCCCTGCTATCAAGCTGTTGATTAGAAGAGCTATTTACCATTTTGTTAGTTAATAAGATTCTCTAGATGAGCTCTAGATCACATAAATGGCTTTGTAAACCATCAGTCCTCTACGGAGTACAGATGAGAATCACTCTACAGCAACATTGTGCTGGGGGAAGGCTGCTCAGACTGTGGGTGCTGAATGTCATCCTGCACGATGCTGCGGGAAATAATGATCACGCTGCCTCCTCAGGCCTCAGTTCTGTTAGGAGTGGGAGAGCAAAAACTAAGACACTTGGTGTGGGCTGATTTCCTCTGTTTCCTAGGGCTCCTGTTTTGTGAGTGGTAAGTGAAGCAGTATTAGTGTGCGTGCATGGTCTCAGTGACAGTCAGTTGTAAGGGTGGCCAGTCTGTGCTCCCAGAAGTAGCCTCTCCAAGACTTGCGCTCCTTTGGAGAACCAACCCATTAAGAAGTGGACACTAGTGGCAAATTAAGTAACCAGTGGCCTAAGTGTTTTGGAACTGGGGCTGCTTTGTGCAGTCTCCTGTGCTTGCAATGAGCAGCTGACACTGTACTTTGTAGGGTAACATTCTGGCTAGTTTATTATCTCGCACAGTTTGCACTGCCTCGTAACTGGGGTGTGTGAACTTGTGTGAGGAGAACGGTTTTCCCACAGAAACAGTTGACCTCAGATGGTTTGAGGCATGCTTGCTTGTCCTGGGGCTAACCGAGGGAGCCTTGTGACAAACCTCACAACTAAACCACAGGCTCTAGCACTGTCAGGGTCAAATCAGCCACCTCCCTTGAGGTCTGAGTGGGCTGTTGTTGAAAGCCACAAGACGTTGCCTCTATATGTGCAGGCAGGGGTTAAGCATTATGAATTTGCAATAGCCAGCCAGCTTTCCCATATAAGAGCACTGCATTCATTGGCTCTCTCTTTTACTGAGAAATCTAGCTAGTCATTTCCTGTGCAAGCCCTTCTTCACTTTGCAAACTGCTATACAGTTGAGTAAATAACAATGATCCGTGGTTATTCCTTCTCACGGGCAACTTGGATTCTCTCATGGACCATCACTAACTAGGAGTTCAACATTGTGCCATTAATAGACTGCTAATATGAGTGTGGTCATCTCTGCAGAAAAGGAGGAGTCTTACCCATGGATGTAAATAATTTGGGGTCTGCTTTCATGTTTATTAACACTTGTTGGTATTTGACTTGGTTTCTACTGAGAGATTATTTACCCTGTGAAGGATCCGTTGGGACTCCTTGTCAGATCAGTTCTTGGGTGGAGCTTGCAGCAACTTGGGGTAAGTGCTGTGCTCTTCCTCTTTTGACAGCAGGGCTTTTTGGTGCTGCACTGCTCAAAATGGCTTGGTAAAGTTGCAGAAAGAAACAACTCGGTTCTTGAGTAGAGAAGTGAAAGTTGAGCTAGCAGAGAGGGCTGTCTGTGTTTCCTAGGGACGCACAAAGTGGATGTATACATTATAGGGTCCTTTTTTATAGGACCGTTTTGCTCTTGCTTTTAAAACAGACGGTCTGTCTGTACAAGACTGACAATAAATAACTCTCTCGAGCGCTGTGGAGAGATGGAAACTGCAGCTGAGAAATGATTTTGGGGAAAGGAAGACAGAAAAGCACAAGCAAACTATTATGGAAGTACCAATAGCGCTCTAAAGGATCGGCAAATGTACCAGTAAGTGTTATGGGGGAGGAAATAAGTCTGAAATGGGATTATAGGGTGTATGCTTGTGTGTGCAGAGGAATGTTTGTCATTAGAGTGCAGACTAAACTGAATGGCTGAATTATCATAATGGTTTGTCTTGAAATCAGCCCTTGGATTTCTTGCTGTGAGCTGCATAAAGATGTTTTGTGGCTGTTTTCTGCCTAGAACTATGTTTCTCCACATCCTAATCTAAGCCAGAATGCTTATGCTGTGTCAATTTACCTCTCTGCCGGTACAGGCTATGGAGTCTGGCTGTAGTCCCAGCAAGGGAGATTTCTCTTCAGAGAAAACCTGTTAACCATTTGGAGGGAGTACATGTGAATAAGACGGAGTTATTAAAAAACCCTCTGCTTCAGGTTGGTAATCATGGATGTTTCCTTGCTGCCTCACAAACTGTGTGTGAATCTGCAGTCGTATGCTGACTAGAGATAGCTTGCATTACGTGTGGATCTGAGATGTAACCAGATATATATGAAGAGACGTTTCAAAAGAGTAAAAAAAGAGTACAGTACATATTAAATGAGAGAAGCGGGCTGGCTGGGTGCTCTGGTGAATACGAATGCTCTCTGTACAGCAGATCTGGATCCAGCTTTGCTCTTGGGAGAGCTGTGCTCTGTTCAGGCTCTGAGGGCTGTAAGTGTCCGCATGGCAGCTGGGGTGTGTGTTTGCCTGGGCTGTGGAGCTGGAAATTCAAAGCCCGTACTTGCATGGATAGCCAACAGCTCCAAACACTGGGGAGATCCCACTCATTTTGCCCCAGGATGAAATACGAGAACGCATGAGGGGAACGTAATTTGCACATAAGTTTTCCCTGTAGAAATGGCATAATGCTTACCAACAGAGAACATAAGCAAACTTATCACTCTGTTCCAAAGAAGGCCTACAGTTAATCTTATCTGTTTTGCCACTTGGTGAGTAGCCTGTGTTGGCTGCACTGAGACAAGAACAATGATCGTAGTCTACTAAAGATCCACTTTCTTTGCCTTTTATGTAAGGAACCTGTGCTGCTGCCAACAGGTGAGGTCATCTCACAAAGGGGGTTCAGATGTTCTGCAGACAAGTTGCCTGTATTTCATGAACTGCTTTTGAACTTCTTCTCCAGTGGTACCTTATTTAAGGCCTTGATCCTTTATTCAAATACTCCTACTGTGCAGAGTTTTGCTGAATCTCTCTCTCAAAGCACCCATAGTCAACTGTAGGAATGCTGGGCCTGGAAACATGCTTTCCTCTCTGTGCCACACCAAGCACACTCTAGGTTTGTGAACAAATTGTGTTAATTCTCCCTCCTTGCAGGTTTAGCCTCCCAGCGGGGGACGTCTTTGGTGATCTGCAAGATTATCTGTACTAGAAATGGATAACTTCACAAATGGGCAGCCGGGCCCAGGTCAGAGGAACAGGTTGATGGGATTGCTAGAAACAGATGACAGTATCCAGGAAGATAAACCTGCATCTAGTAAAAAGGAAGAAAGATCAGGACATGGAAAGAAAGGAGAGCCACGACCCTTGGAGACGCCTTATCAGAAGGAGAGCAGTGACTTTCCTCCTAAAGTCAAGATTAATCTGAACTATCGGCCAGGGCTCGTCAGCAAGTGAGTAACTGTTGGGTGTTTGACAAGGGTGTGATCCCTGTTGATCTGTACTGATCCCTGCTGGTAGGGGTCTATAGACTTTACCAAATCTAAACTAAAAGTAGCAATGTAGGAATATCACAGGCATCTGGTGGGAGGTGATTAAAAGCAGAAAGGGGATGCATTAGCCCTTTCCGTCTGCACTTGGAAGGTATGTGTGTGTTGTGGTGTATTTGGGGTGTATCTGAACTAACACTAAATAAGCCAAGTTGGGTGTAAGAGCAGCCTACCATGGAGCCCTATACAACTGAACTGGTCTTGCCAGGGAGGGATGTAAACCAACTCACAGAGTGCTTCACACCATGTGATGGGGCTGACTTTGGTCCTGCAGCTATCTTGGGCTTCTCTGTCTTTGTGCTCTGGATGCATTCCAGGGTTGCAGATTAGACTGGATCTGGGAAGAGCTCCAGCTGATGGAAAGAGCAGCCACTGAAGAGAATTCTGGGAAATAACTGTCTCTATTTTTCCCTTGACTCAAAAATAAAATACTTGTTTTTTCTGACAAACTTTTCTCCTCCCTCCTTTCTTACACTGTCCCACTAGAATTTATTGCACACTCTTGTCTTCTGCTCTCCAGAACTTCTTAACATTTTGCATTTCTTCCGTAGCCAAAAGGACCCCAATCGCTTTGACAGAGACAGGCTCTTCAGCGCAGTCTCAAGGGGCAGCCCTGAGGCACTGGATGGTTTACTTGAGTACTTACGGAGGACCTCCAAATTTCTCACCAATTCTGAATACACAGGTAGATTTCTGCTTAGTACACCGTAAACAGGGTTAGCAGAGGCAGTGCTTGTTAACATAAGAGGAAAGCAGAGGAATCTTCTTTGCTTTCTCCAGCCCTCTGTCCATTCTTTTATTTTCCTAATGTCCACCCGAGGATGGAGAATGCCATTAATTATATATATCCTAAGGCTTTTGCCTCTACTGCAGACTAAGAGTACTGAGAAACACCTTTAAAATAATTATTGTATTTGGTCCTACAGTGACAGTTAAGTTCTGAATCGAGTAGTACAGCTGTGTGCAAAGTACACGCACAACCCGTTCAATACTCTTTTTCTACTAGATGCAAAGACTGGGAAGACCTGCTTAATGAAAGCCCTGTTGAACTTAAAAAATGGAAAGAATGACACAATCCCACTTTTGCTGGAAATAGACCAAAAGACACAGAATCCCAGGCCACTTGTTAATGTGGCATGCTCTGACTGTTACTACAGAGGTAAGATTTCAGTTCTGATGCTGTGTCAGAGCAGCTTCCCCATTAGACAAGTGAGATGTGCAGATGCAAGGAAAAAGAGGGGAACCAGAGCTTATGCAGCACTGCAGTTCCAGAGTTCTGGTGCAGTTACAGTAACAGCCTACTCATCTTTTATTTCTGATTCTGGTACTGCATCATCTTCAGCCTTGAATTATACACTTCTGCAACTTTGTTCTTGGTCTATAAAACAGAAGTGATACATGTTTAATAACCCAATAATATGAGAGGATTTGCTTGGGAAATCTTAAAAAGCATGTCCAGAAGTGAAAAAGAAATAGTATATCACTATTAAAGAATGAGTTCTGCTGTTTGGGCTATTCTTTTAATAGCAGACATGCAGCATAGTCATGTACATGTATGGTTGTCTTTATCCTCTCATAGCTACTTGGGATCTTAGTGCCAGGTAGGGGTAATTGCCTGGTCTTGTACTGAATTTCTGATAGTCTTGAGGCTTGTATTCTGACTCAGTGTTTGCAGCGCGCTTTTCCAATGAACGTTGTTGAAAGTCATCAGTTGCCACCCACACCCTGCCCAGCACTGAGACTGCAGGATTGCTATGCAGAACATCCGTTGATTGTTGAAACAGTGCTTTCCTGAAGAGTCCTTTGCCTGTTCCCTCTGATAGTGGCACTGAATGATAGGTTTTGCCTGTTTCCTTAGGCCAGACAGCACTCCATATTGCCATAGAGAAAAGGAGCCTAGATTTAGTGAAACTTCTAGTAGAGAATGGAGCTGATGTCCATGCCAGAGCCCATGGTGAATTCTTCAAGAAGAAGAAAGAAGGAGTTAGCTTTTATTTTGGTGAGTCAGTGTGGAACATGCTCCTTTGCTTTTTTTATTGCCTTACTGTCTGTGGTGCCACTAAATCTCAGTTGGTTTTGCCCCTCTGTGTGTGGGTTGCCATCTCCACTGTCCTGTAATCAAGCTCTTGACTTATTTGAATGGCAGGATCCTTTCACAGACTTGGGTGTCCAATGGGCATTTGCCAGCATCTTTGGTTTTACGTATTTAACCCTGTCTGAGGGGCTTCAGACAGAGACAAATACTTGGTTAGTTTAGCCAAATTAGGGGTCTGGGAAAGTGTTTCAGCTGCCCCCAGAAATAAGGAGTAATTGTTTACTGCAAAACCCTTTCTGAGTCTTGAGACACTGAGAAAGAACTTGTTCTGTGTTCTGGTGGTAAAACTATAGGCTAAATGTATTTTCTTATAATTGCTTTTTTTTTTTTCTTTAATTCTTTTTCACCCCTTTCTGCTTCCCCTCCAAATACTGCCCTAATCTCTTCAGGTGAGCTTCCCCTCTCCTTGGCTGCTTGTACCAACCAGCTTGAGGTGGTGGAATATCTTCTAAACAATCCCCACCAGAAGGCCAGCCTCCAGGAGCAAGATACACAGGGCAACACAGTCCTCCATGCCCTGGTGATGATTGCAGATGACACTGAGGAGAACACCAAGTTTGTGAGCACAACATATGTTGAGATCTTAAAGGCAGGTGTGAAGGTTGACCCAACGTGGAAACTGGAGGAGATAGTGAACTATGATGGACTAAATCCTCTGCAGCTTGCTGCCAAGACAGGCAAAGTGGAGGTAAAGACAACTAGAGGAAACCCCTGGGGTTGCTGAGAAACAAGGAAGACTGTAGCATACATCCTCAGCATAGCAGCGGGGTTTGATGTAGGAACATCTTACACCCAACCTGTAGTAATGCTGCTGACAGTGGCAGTGCCACAGGAGACAATAAAGGCGGCCTCTTCCAGGCCACTCCAGTTAGTGTCCTACAGAGCTTCAGCTGGCTGCTGCTGCTCTCTGTCCCAGCCAAACCAGCTGGTCTGGACCAAAATTGGTTCTACTCCTGGAAGAGCTGATACAAGGTGTAGTTAGATTGCCTGCTTTTAGCCAGATAGGCTGGTGTTTGGATATATCAAGGTGTATAATGCAGAAAGCCAGGTGTCCCGTATTTGAAGGTGATTTGGGTATGCTTGTGTCGTTCTGCACCTTCATTAGATACAAATTTTTCTGGTATGCATCCGGTTTCTCTTCAGATCTTCAAGCACATCATCCAAAGAGAGATCAAAGACCCAGTGTACAGGCACCTGTCACGCAAGTTCACTGAATGGACGTATGGACCTATCCATGTGTCTCTCTATGACTTGTCCTCTATAGACAGCTTTGAGGAAAACTCTGTGCTGGAGATTCTGGCATACAGCAGTGACACACCGGTGAGTGCTTTTACTAAAAGTCAAAGACAGCAACATTTTTTCTGCCTTTCTGTAGTGTTGCTGTATAATTATGCAAATCATTTCAAGTTAATGTGGTGTTTCACATCATCATTTTTGTGGAAAAGAAATGCATGATGGAAGTATTTGCATATTTTATTATTTATAGTCTGCTTGGTATGCCTCTGATAATCTATAATATGAGAGAAATTTTTGATCCTTTGGTTGTCCTAAGCCTGGATGTGTCCAAATAACTTGATGAAGCCAAGCACAATTAACTTCTTATGGGATGGTTGATCTCTTTCATAATGAAAGGCCTGACTGAATAAACCCTTAGCAATACCCTACTTGGAGCCTCTGAACTCCAACCCTGAAAAAGACAATGCTGTGGTGAATTTGCATTCCTGTTGACACATGGGTACCTTTTTTGTTGTTTGTTTTTCCATAGAATCGGTACAAGATGGTGGTTTTGGAGCCACTGAACAAACTGCTTCAGCAAAAGTGGGAAACATTTGCTTCCAAGAGATTCTACTTCAGTTTTGTCTCATACTTGTCATTCATGATCATCTTTACAGCCATTGCATACTATCAACCCTTACGGGTAAAGGTAGGTCCAGTCTTCTTTTATCTAGAAAGGCCTGAATGAATGGAGCTGAGTTTAAAAAGTGTGGGGTGGTTGTCATCACTACCTCTGCCTGTCTTCAGTGGTTTTTGGTTTTATCTTGCAGCCTTCATTTCCAGTGGAGTTCACAGCTGGAGGCTTCCTGTGGGTCTCTGGACTGATCATTATCTTGCTAGGAGGCATTTATCTAATCTTTGCTCAGGTATGGGGATCTCATGTGGTTTCATTGTAAGAAAGAAAAAAAGGAAACGATCACTGACATGGAGGCAACAGATTCAATTCTCCTGATATGAGGGTGTGCACGAGTGGATGGCAGGAGGGAATCCTGCTCTGAGACACTTACAGTGTCAGCACGATCTAGCAGTGACAGGGGTGGCACAAGCCAGGTTGCTGGGCAAGAGCAAGAATAGGTTCACAGCAGCAAATAATTACGAGAGACTTCTGTGATTTATGGTACCAAAATGCATCCTTGGCATTTAATACAGTCTATTAATAAAGCCATTGGGCTGAGCCATGATTCAGCCCTTGTTTATCCTTGCCCTTTGTAAATAAGGCCTTTTTTTCATCTTGGAAGTATTACTAGCTGAGATTTGTGATCTTGAAAATGAAAGCATGAATAGCAGCTTATGGAGCAAACCTTTCCCCTGAGCAATAGGCTATGCTGTGCAGGAATCGCTCTCTAGCATGCCCTGTTTTTCTGATGAATGGCTACCATTGATTTTTCTCTATCAGAGTCTGTACTTGCGGAGGAGACGCCAGTCCCTGAAGACTATGTGTTCTGACAGCTGCATTGAGATCTTGATGTATGTCTCTTGAGGTTTTTGCACAATGAAAGCATGGATGAAACTGGTTCTCTGCTGTGTGCAGCTAAGTTGCCCTAACATTACTAGAGAGATGGTGAGCAGGAAAGACTGATTCTCTGCCACTGTCTCCTCTTTCCATCCCTTCCCTGCTTGCTTCTCCTACCTGCTGCATCTTGTCATAACTCTTTGTTGTAATGGACTTCGCTGGGTAGGTTCTCTCCTTGGATTTGTAGCGGAACACAGTACAGGTCAGACCCTCAATTATTCCACAGATAAGAACATATACTTGTTAGAAAAAGAGCTCAAGTTCTCAATCATACTGTCACAGCGGCTCAGAATTGGTTGAAAGGAAAATAACTTCTGTTTTCTGAGGAGAAATGTGTATAGATGCATGTGTGTGCATGTATGTGTGCATGTGTTCATAAGTGTTAAATTTTTTTTCCATTTAATATGAGTTATGTGAGTTACATCAAGCAGTTCAGAGTTTCCATACTGTGAGAGTAACCAGTTCATAACAAAACTGCAACAATTTGTGGGTCTGGTTATAACAGGATTTGCTTATATAAACTATGTGTCTGATTAACTGCTACTTTATATGCTCCATGTAGCCTTGTCAAATGTGTTTGCTTTTACTTGCAAAACAGAACAGATCTGCAAATGGGCCTCTTTGTTGAGGTAAGTTACTGTGCCACTCATTCTATTTCTCTCCAGCTTCATCCAGGCTTTCTCATTGCTGCTGTCAGCCGTCCTGTATGGTGCAAGTTCAGAAAATTATGTGGCAGTGATGGTGTTCTCCCTGCTTTTGGGATGGGTGAACACGCTGTATTACACTCGGGGCTTTCAACGCACTGGGATCTACAGTGTCATGATACAGAAGGTCAGTACTTGGAAAAAACCTTGTATGAAAAGTGTTTGGGTGTGAGGAACTAATAGAAGTCCTGCAATTATTTTTCTTCTCTCAGGACCATGAAAACCATAAATGGAATTGAGTCACTGACTATGGAAGTAACAATATTGCAGAAGGAGTTTAGATCAGTGTCTTCAAGGAAGTACAATTGCAGCAAACCACTAGTTTGCTATCTTTGAATATAGGAAGTCACAGCAGCTGACACCAGTTTGTCATAAACCAACTCAAAACTAGCAGTCAAAACCAGTGGGAGTTCCCTGGAACTGTTATGCTTGGGCTGAGAAATGTTTCCAGGTCCATAGAGGAGTCTGGGACTAGAAAGACAAGACAAAGCAGAGGTGAAATGAGTTGCCAGGGAAGAATTCTGATCACCACTTGTCTGAAACCCAATGGAGACGGAAAAGAAAGAGATGTGTGCGTTGAAACAATTTGGAAACAGCCATACTGGGGAACTGAGATGATATTTATTTGTTTCAAAGAACCTATTCATACAAACATAACAACAAATAATTTCATGTAGTACTCTCAGATTAAGCTACCAATGATGTTACTTACCTGAGGAAGTAATTTAACATGTATTAGTAGTTGCTTAAACTGGATAAAAGCATTTTCCAACTTGCTTTCAATATTGTTACTGGGGGTTGGTTTATGATGTGTGAGAACAGGAGATCATCCTCGTGATTTCATGTGAGATAAAGGATGGCACTTCCTCCTGATTTGTGTTTTAGACTATCCTGAGAGATCTACTGCGTTTCCTCTTGGTTTATATCATCTTCCTCTTTGGCTTTGCTGCAGGTAAGGCCTTACTCAGCATTAGGTTGCAGGCTGGGCTGCAAGAAGTAAATTTTTCTGAAGAAGATTCAAATTCTGTTTTTCTCATAGCTCTGGTTACGCTGATGGGGGACGCTCCTTCGGTCTCTCAGAACAAGTCTCTTGCTCAGTTGGAGAGTGCTGGGAGCCATGCTATGTACGGTGGGCTGCTTAGTGTTTCCCTGGAGCTCTTCAAGATCACCATTGGGATGGGTGACCTGGATTTCCAGGAACATGCCAGATTCAGATACTTCGTCATGTTCCTGCTGCTTCTCTTTGTGATCCTCACTTACATTCTTTTGCTCAACATGCTGATTGCGCTCATGAGCGAGACTGTCACAGATATTTCTGGTTACAGCAAAAGCATCTGGAAGCTGCAGGTGAGGCGCAGTGCTGCTCAGCAGTTATGTCATGGCCCAAAACTCCTACCTGAGTCTCATAACATCAGAGATGACAGTGCCTGTCTTTGTCCTAACCCTGAGCTATAAACTTCTCTTGTACATAAACTTGCCACTCTGGGGGCTAAATCCTAACATCATTTTTAGATATATTTAAAACTCATGCTGTTTGCATGGCTACCAGCCAGTCCGGATCCACATGCATAAGTAACTTGAGAAATTAAGTAACTGACTGGTAGTATTAAGCTAAGGAGCACTTTGGGATTGGGTTCCAGAGTGATTTTCTAAGTCAAAGTAGTTGCTGATTGGGGAAGATTCACTTGAAAAGAAGGTCTGGGCTCTGTATGCCTTGTTTGCTCTCTGACATAGACTTCTTCTTTCAGAGGGCTATTGCTATTCTAGAAATAGAGAAGGCCTGGCTGTGGCGCCAAGGTGGGAAGAGGAGATCTGGCTGCTTCATGTCAGTGGGCCTCAATAAGAAAGATGAGAGGTGGTGTTTCAGGTAAGACAGATGTACCATTACCCCTTATACACCAGCCTAGTAAGGGGTTCCCATGATTCGTAAGCTGGTAACCCTGAACCGCCACAGGGAATTTCAGCACTGATGCAACAGAGTGACTCAACCACACATTCCTGGGTACTTGCAAGTTGGTTGGTGATTGCAGTGCTGGAAGTTTGAGAGCTAGCTGAGCCGCCAGCATTGTCACCAAGACATGCTGTCACTAAAAGGTGTCCTGTTTAACCCAAATCTGTGCAAGTGGTTATGGTGGCAGGGTGCCTGCAATGATGTTTTCTTTGCTGCTGCGAGTATAGCCGTGCCCAGAGCAGGCTGTGGTGGGAGGGCTGGAGGCTGGTGGCCCCTTTGCTCAGGAACATGCAACTTGAGTGCAGCACGAGGGGGCAGCACTCTTCCTCGCATATAGGAGCTGGGAGAGCAGGTGAACCTTTCTCCACCCAGTGAACCGAACTGCAGACAGCACTTCTTAACTCCAGGGTGTTACGGAGCATGTATAGAAAGTGCAACCTAGGAGCCTCCTTTGTATTAAGTATGCTCCCTGTGAGAAACTGGAATATTTTAAAACAAACAACATAGACCAGCACACAATATGCAGGGGAAGAAGATTTACCTTGTGGAGCTTAGACTACAGAAGATCTTCACTCAAAAAAAAAATGCTCTGTAGTGTGTTGTTGCTACAGCCAAACCATTAGGATTGTGTTGGCAGGATGAGCTGGGTTGGGATGCTGTGGGGACAGTGAAATCTGGACTGAAATGCTGTGCTCCATACATCAGTGTCTGCTGCATTTTGTCTCTCCAGAGTAGAGGAAATTAAATGGACGAATTGGGCAAAGGATGTGGGAGTTCTTAAGGAAGACCCTGGAAACACCAGTGATTCAGAAATAAATCCAGAAGGTAAATTAAATAATGAAGGAAGGTCTTCAGTATCCTTTTAGCTTCCTGCTCAGCAGCTACTCTTGGCATGTTATTATGTCTTTGATAACAGAAATTTTAGGCAGGCCAGCTTGCTCATGAAATTGCTTCCACACAGCATACTTCAACAGTAGCAGCATCACTTGTGAGCTGAGAAAATAAAGAATTAGAGTAGACATGGACCTGGTCAGAGTTTGGGAACAAATAATGAGAATGAAGGAGATGCCATTCCTACTTATGTCTGGTAGAAATGGGCAGGAAACGCTGCTGAGAAAAGCAAGGGCTGTTCTTCCCTTTGACTCAGTAGCCCAAACGCATGGTGCTTTTTCTAGAAAAGGTAAAATTTAGGCCCACTCATACTGCAACTGTTAAAATCACGGGGCTTTTATAGCACAAATCAGGGCATTGACAATGGCAACTTTGTCAGATTCTGCCTAAGGTAATTATGTTTGCTTCCCTTGTTACACCTGGGAAGCAACTCTGTGAGGAAAATGGAGAGCTGTTACTTTCTCTAGAAATATTTTGTTCAGCCTGGCAGAGCTTGGGCGGAAGCTCCACTGGATTTAAACACGGCCCCCTGCTCTTCCAGCGTAGGTTCTTCCTAGATGCCAGTGTTCTAGGAGTGGGGAGGTTGCAACACTTAAAATACTATCTGGTGTATGTTGGGTTTTCCCCAAACCTGCACTCTTCTAAAAACTGGATCCCTTTGTCAGCTTCCTGCTGACAGAGGGCTGCTGTTTTTATGTCTCCTGCTATAGAGACAAGATCATGGAAACGGATGCCACAGAAACAACTGAGATCAGCTGTTTCAGAGGAGCAGTCACTGTTACAGCCCCAGCTATCAGCAACTGAGATGATACCTCTAGAGGGACAAACCAGAAATCTTTAGCAGGTTTTCTGGATTACAACTTTGCTTCCATCTTCAAAGGAGTAGTTCTTCCTATAGCGGCTGGAAGAATTGAAGGCATTATCAGTATTAAAGTACATTTCATCGAAGACTGTGGTTCAGCCTGTGGCTTTAAATATTTTCATGCACTTTAATCATTAATTTCCTCTGAAGAAACTATTTTTACTCAACTTTCTCTGCCTGACACTTTCTTATTGCTATGTCTAAAGGTATAAGAGTGAGAGCAAGATCATGGGGCAGTGGGGAGTGGTCTTTAGGAAGGCAGTGCTTTCTGAGCTGTATAGAAATAATGCTATTTGCCATAGAGAAGCAAAGGATGGAGTGACCTATCTAAGAATGGGTCGACTGTTATTTTTTTGTCACAGGAGGCTACACTGAAGTACTTTGGAATAAAGAGTGTTGTAGAGTCATAAAAAGTTGCTAAGGATGGAGTTGGCTTCTGTGCAAAGCACTGTTGGTGTGAGACATGAGTGGACAAACACACAGTCTTCAGTCATCAAGAGCCATACTGAGTCTTTATGTCAGTATCTGCAGTGCTTGGTGTTTAGCCGACATCACAATTCCCATTTTACAGTATTATAGTGAAATCATTTGCACGATGTGCACATTTGCTTAAGAGCACAAAAGCAATGTGGATTTCCTGGACCTGTAACTTCACATGGTGAATTTCTGAAACATCTGTCTTTCACAGGTTGCTTTGTCTCTGTAGAAAATGGCAGCAGAGTCCTGCATATGGCTTCTGAGAGACAGATGGGCCAAAATGCATCGTACAGTTAACGTTTCCTGTCGGTCTTAGTGAGCATCCTGTCTTGCTGTAAATGATTACAAGGACATCATTGCTTTTTGTAATGTGCACTCTGCCTCAGGCAGGGTAGGAAGCATACTTTAAACTCTGTGGAAAAGAGATAAAAATGAGCTGTCTCACTTTCAGCCTATATTTAAAAATAATAACATGTAGTATTTCTGTAAACTGTCAATATAGCAGGTTTATTTAATTGAAAATGTTCATCCTTGGATACATTTTCAGAGCTTCAGCCTCTCTCAGAAAGGAAGAGAAGATGTGGTCAGTATCAACTATAAGGCTTTATCAAATTCCTGATTACATTTCATCCAGCACTGTGCTGACCTCACTGCCATGGGAGTTAACTCTTGTTTTTCATGACCTCATATCAGTTTATGCAGCCACATCTGAAAATGTAACAGCTGATACTGCATTGGATGCATCTTTCATACAGGGAATGGCTAGCGATAACCTGAAAACGCTGCAGACTACAAATGTTGGCAGCACCTTTCCTTCAGTGAGATAAACTATGCAACTCAAGATCTCCTGTCTCTCATTTGTGCTCTGAGCAGGTGAAGCTAGGAGGTTTGTCTTTTGGAGACAATCATCTTAATCCTGTTGCTTACTGCATGCACATGACTGGCAGCAAAAGCATTGCTTTTAAAACTCATTCCCTGTCACTTCAAACGGGTTCTTCCCCTGTGCTTGGCAATTCCCTCTGCAGCTTCACTGCATTGGGTCTCTGAATTGTAACTAACTTTTCTCACTCCAGCTTCTGCTGTTTTCTTGCTTTGTGAAGCCTTCAGCTGCTTTTTCCATCTATGGCTTTGTCCTAAGTGTTCCCAAGATTTGGCAAGGTGCTCATATTGCACAAAAGGATCATCTGGCATATGGTAATCTATTGCTATGCTTAGTGCTTTGCTGTGGTAGGGGCACTTTGAGATTCTCAAGAAATGCAGAATCGGGTCTGCCATCCCTGCCTGCAGTCTTAAACAACAAAAGAGAAATCTTGCTTACTGGTAGTGGTTTTGATAGCTGTGGGCTGTGGCAGCTTGCTTTCAAGATAACCCGCCTCTTCAGCCATTCCTTGAACCTACTTCTCTTTAAATCCCTTACGTTTGCAGTGTTAGTTTTTCTTTTGATCTGCATAAAAAATGTTCTTAAACACCTAGTGTCTGCTGCGAAACAGGGCCTTGGCATTCCTTGTGCTTCACAGTCACGCCACAGACCAGCAGTCCCAGCCCTCTCAGGCTCATGAATGAAGGATGATGGATGGCAGACAGGGACAGGCACATGCAGCAAACAGATATGTCAGGTTGGTCAGAAGATACGACAGTGCCTGGGCTGTTGTACAGTTCTTTGATGTGCTATGGAAAAAAAGGAGATTTCTGAGGAATTACAACCTCTCTGCAGTGAGAGGTGAGTCAGCACTGTTGAGATTAATATCAGTAACCTCCCAGTTTTCCATATTCTTAATGCACAAGGCTTCTCTTTGGTTTCACCATCTGAACCACTTCCCATTTTGATCACATTACAAACAAGAAGGCTGTCTGGGGTTTATTTTGTGGGATATCTGCAGTTCCTTGCAAGAGGAAGGACTTACAAGCTGGTTCATAGCTTTGCAGGCCCAACAGAATTTTGGGATCCACTCTTAAGAGATCATAATGTTTTGTCAGGAAACACTTCAGTCATTTACACAAGAAATTATCAGCAGATGAACTGTCCTCTCCCTTCTACCTCTTGTGACGGGTAAAGCCACCTGCATGTGGACCCATCCCTATGCAAATGGGGAGGATTTGCAGGGCTGTCATCTGAGAAAACAGAAACCTTTCACAAATGTCAGTGAAGGAATAGCTGCAGTTTCTCTTCTCTGTTTACTTTGTATGTATGAGCCGCAGAGACTCTGAAGGCCCAGCCATGCCATGAAGAAAAGACACCAGCAGCTCTTATTACGTTCCATGCAGGGTTATGGATGCTCAAACCCTCCCCTGTGTGATTTGGTCAAAGTTGCTTGGCTCCTGGCAGGGTTGGGAGATGAATGCAGACCTTGTTGCTTCCAAACTCCTCCTCCTCTACTCGAGCACACTTTGCCTGGTCGTTGCTCCCTGTGGCCTCTCTACTAGGTTCCAAATGCTTCCCACTGTACAGTGATTTATCACGCCACTTATCTGTGTAATTTTCCTAAAAGAAACTTTGTGTCTGGTTTGTATGGTTCCCAATTCCTCCTAAGGCCTTTTTCCTCAGGGACGTAGGTGGAAGCAAGACTTTCTTGTTCCTCAAATGCTTTGCATATTTTATTTTTTGTTGTTTTTTTCCCATTTTTTTCAATGTGTGCTCTGAAGCTGAAGCCAATGTGGGGAGGTGTATGTGTGCCTTGGTTAATTCTTGCTCTCTTCATCTGTTTGTGACCCCACTTGCAAGTGAGCATGCTTTCCATTGCCTCTGTAGCTAGCAAAAGGAGTCTCTGTGACAAGCAAAAGGGCTCAGACGAAGAACAGATGCTTTATGTAAGTCTATATAAGCTGCAAAGAGCTATTTCTGAAGCAATGCAGCTGGCAGATTTCTCAGCTGGACTGTTCCTGTGGCTCTGTGGCTAGCTATCAGTTTTGTTGTTCTTTGCTGTATTTAAGAAATTTTATTTGTTGCTCTGGGACTAAAACAAAAATAAAATTGGGGGGAAAAAAAAGGACATTTTAAAAGAAAACTGTTCCACTTTGCAACCTCACCTCTACTTCAGCAGCATGAATAAAAGTGGGGCCAGAGAGGACCAGGCAAAGCCTCAGAAAGGCATGACTGCAGCTGCCTCATGGCTGGCACCCAACTGTTATTAAATCTGAGTGCAAAGAGTTTTTTCTTCACTTTCTCTTTTGACATAATCTTTTTTTCAGTTTGGATTCATGAGATGTGGGGTGCTACAGTATTTCTGGACTGTGAAGATGGTTATCAAGTGTTGTAAACACAGGGAGTCCTTAGAGGAAGAGAGTCGGACGTAGCTAGAAAGTGTCTGTGTGATTTGTTGCACTCTTTTCTGAGAATGCTCGGAAAACTTACACTTTCTGGGCAAAGAGAACTGCGTCTCTGGAATGGCTTTCTCCCCCCTGCTGCCTTCCAAAATGATTTGTTGTGCAGTTAACTCTTCTGATTGCTCAGCATTTGCAATTTCAGCTCATTTAGACTTGTAATAACAACACACTGCATCTGAATAATATTTGCTACACAGTACTCTGATAGTACTATTTGGGAGTAATTCTGGGCTAGTCTAGTCCAGACTAGGGTCAACAGTACAGAGAAACAAGGGATCAACAGAAACGAAAGAGTTGTTGGTAGAGGGGAGAAGAGATGTGCAGAATCCCTTAACATACCCTGGGCATCCTGCGATAAAATGTCAATGTTTCTGACACCAATAATATACAAAATAAAAGGGGGATACCAAGTGTGTTGTGTGTGTGAGTGTGAGGGCGGGGACCTCTTGCATTAAAAAATTACTATGAGGGGCATCTGAGAGCTGACATGTTTTGTAAATCCCTGCTGTGACTTCACTCAGGTCAATCTGTTTGCACATTTCAACGTGATGTGGCATGTCCACATAGCAAGCACCAAATGACAAGGTGGACAGTGCAAACATAGACCCTAGTGGCTTTTCCAAACAGATCCTGTTTTTCTAGGTGTACTAAAGGTGTTGATGGACAGAAATTGAGACACTGCTAAAACTTACTTTTCAGTAGCATAAATTGAGCTTTTAGTAGGTCTTTGCATCTGCAATTTTATTAAAATGTCATTGGTGTACGCCTTGAAACCTCAGTTAGGAAATCCACAATAGAGTCACATTGTCTCAGCAAACACAGACATGCAGATCTGGAGAATCAGAAGAAGAAGAGAGCAGCTTTTACCTGGTATCTCCAGTCCTCCTCCTTCCTTCACCTTAAAGCTGGGAACAATGAGATTGCTCCTGTATCTACTCTTCCTAATGAGTGAGTCTTACCTCTATATTTATTTTACATATATTAGAAAATAAAAGTCTTAGTGTGGAAACAAAGTAATTTCTGGACACTCATATCAGTCCCTTAATGTGAACCAATAAAATGATTCTTATGTAGAAAGTTCAGGATGTTTGGACTTGCATGGAAAGTCCTTAGTTTGCAATGTGTTTTTGTAATATTTCAGAGAAATTCATACATTTGGGTGGAAAGAGTTTTATAGTTCATACTTAGTGGGAGAAAAGTGGCTACCAGGTGAAATTATACTCTCAAATACAAAGCTAACAAACTATGTTTGGCCTTTTATATTTTTTTATTTGTTAGTCTGTTTGCTCGTAGTTAAGCAGGTGAGAGTAGAATGTAGGTGAGGGGGTTTTTTTATATTCCTCCCTTTCTAGCGTCATTTTAGATACACCTTGGATTAAGCAGCATGCGCTTTTGGAGATACATCTCCCACAAGTTTTTGTCTTGTTGATCTCCTAACAAGAGCTCTAGAACACGTAGGATTTTTTAAAAGAAAATTCAGAGGACCTTTATTATTTGGGAGTAAGTTTGTTTAAAGTAAAACATAGGTATGAATTAGAAGAAGTCTTTCCTAAGTCAGAGTCTGTATCCACATCATTGTGTCCTGTAGCCTTGTGGGGACAATTCTGCCATGAATTAGTCTTTAGCTGCTTGTCCCAGAAAGGGTAACACCCTTACACTGCTTCTCCATTAGCTCAAGCAATGGACAACTGCACTGGGGATGTTACTGGCCCCTCTTCCAGCTGCTCCACAAATAAATGCTAGTTTGATTCCATATGACAGAATTTCTGTTCCTTTGGTTCCCTTTTCAAAAGACTCAATACTGTATTTACCTACTTCATCTGTATGGAAAGAATATTATCCTTTAAGTATTCATTCCATGCCCTGATCAGCCTCACAAACTTCCTGACAAGCTTTACACTTCAGTGTGTTTGGCGAAAAAATTGTTATTAATTTTATTCTTTTCATGAGATGCCCCTCAAAGTTCTCTGTAGCTTGCTTTGCTGTGATTTTTAGATTTAATATCAAGATTTATGCTCTACTGTTTTCCTTATTTGGGTTTGACTTCTACATGTTGTATGATGATGTATTACTTCTGCTAATATTTTTGTTCTCATGTTTGTCATTATGCTAGGTAAATCCCAGCTTTGTAAACATTGTAAACATATAAATCCTTAATGGATATGCCCAGAGCAATTACTGATATTTTTTTCAAATCTTGATGTTTCTTCATTTGGCTTATGCAAAATTAAGGTGGAATCATCTGTAGATCTTTTCTATTGCTCTTCCCTAGCAACCTTTTTTTTTGCATTTGTAGGTTTTACTGATGAAAGCGGCAGTGCAGAAAAATGTGGTTTTCTGATCTGGTGGGTCTCAGTTACGTTCTTAGAATGAATCTAACAGATCTGTGCTGAGTGTCTAAACTCTACAGATAATTTATCTGTGGAGTTGGATAATTGGCAACACGTGCCTCCCCCCCCCCCCAGTTTAAGTACAGCGTACTTAGTTTCAGTAACTAAAGTGCTAAAACCCCCTGAATCATCTGTGCTGGAAATCCTTGTGAGCAGGGAGTCAGGAGCAAAAAGTTCAAATAACTCAGCTTTGCAGGATGGCAGCAGCAGAACTAAGTTGATGAGCCTCTGGTTCCCAGGCCAAATGCCATACAAGCACAGGAATGCTCATAAGAGTGGGGTTAGCTCCCTGGCCATCGTTTTTTCACTTTCTGTTGCCTGCTTGAGAATTGTCCCTTACTTCAAAGACAGCTGAACTTTCCAGGGAGCTTGTTCCAGTATATCTGGAATTCTGGTTTTGTTTTAAAGGAAGTTTGCTGGAACTCCGTATTGTTAGGCTGATACTCCTACAGTGGAAACATACACAGATGCCTAGGAGCATCTCTGAGTTAATTTAAGTGTTTTAACTGGTAAAGTGGGATTTACAAAGCAAGGCAGTAGTTCAGGATGGTATGCCTGTGCTCTGAAGGGGATGCATGCCATATGCCTGAAGTATGGGGCATTTCAGGAAGCAGAAGCAAAGACTGAACGTTCACGCTATTTGCATGTTTCATGTCATTGCTCCGATTGTGGTATTTCACTTCTTTGACCAGTGCTTTCATAGCCAGGCTGGGAAATGACATGGAATTGATTGCATAAGCTCAGATTCAGCTCTGAATAAAATTAGAATCAGGAAAGACTCTAGATGGACACAAGCATGCAATTTGACCCCTTGTTAGTACATCAGAGGTTATATTAAAAATGCTAGTCTGTATGTTTAAATGCAGGCTCAACCTCAGCTTCTAGAGTTGGAGTCTGGGCATTCATAGCAAGGATTTTAGGCTGAAGTAATTTGTAAAATTCAGATTTTGTAGTTTTCTTTTGTTCTAGTTTCAAACAGGGACAGAGTTTGTGATCAAAGTCACTTGGGCTTGTTCCTGAGATTAGTGTGAAGTTTTCAAAGTTGTCGTGTGATTGACAGAGGTTTGGTGATACAGTACAGCTCAGTGCTTGAATTTACAGCATTTATCATAGTAGCTTGCCTTTCATGCATCCTACTTTGTGACATTTTCAGTCTGTCACTTTGATTCAAGTATATTTATCTTCCCAGCCTGTGCATTTACTGAATTGTTAGCACGCTTAGAGAAATCAAGAGCTGAGGTGTGAACAGCAATAAGGGTTGGCTTGCTACAGAGTCTTACAGCTAAAACACCAGTATCAGCCTCCTTTTTTGTGGGCTGCCTTGCAAGAAGGAAGTGCCTTCATGCAGAAAAAAAAAGTTACCTTTAGGATGCCAATTCAGTTACAACTCTGTGAATAATGGGTAGAAGGTTTTCTTTTTCTTTTTTTTTTTTTGGATGGCTGTTTTATATCTGTTTTGAGAAATTATTGGACTTTTAGCAGAGCTGCATCCTCAGCAAAGTATCCATCACATTTGGCACCAATTTGCTCCCTTGCTGCCAAGCTTTGAGCTTTTTGTTAACATCCCACAAAATCTATGTTCTCCTCTTCTTACCAGGTTTATGACAATGCTATTCTTGTGGAGAACAATCCCCACTGCTACTTAAACTGCTTTTTCTTTAATCTAATGGGTTTCAGTGTCCTGGTCTATTGAATATCAACTTTACAAGAAGAGAATCCACTGGTGCTACCTTGAAGTGGCATGCCACTTGCACAAGCCCTGGAGTTTTGTTTCCTCTCCTGTCTAAACGGAGGTTTGTGAGCTTCAGCTAGTAGAAATGTTTTATGATATCCAAGATGGACTTTCAGAACAAGAGGACTTGCATTACTTTATTTTTCATTAGGCTGGGCAAGAAAATCCTTTGTTAATCTAAATCAGTGAAATCTCTATAGCTTGGTATCTCCCTCCCGCCAAGTGCCTCTGCTGTCATGGTGGGCAGGGTTCAGGGATTGCTGGCTCAAGAGCCTGTTAACTATGACTCTACAGATCACAGTCTGTGCTCATTTATTTATTTGTTTTCAGTGGTCAAGTCCTTGGGGAGCTTTAACATTGACACTGGCAAGACGTGGATCACACCACACACAGCCTCTTTGTTGTGGCCCACGGTTCTTCAGCACTCGGATGGGAACACAACCATGTAAGGAACAGAAGAAAGAAAAACATACCCAGACCTCCCAGGTCTTTATGAATGCGTGTGGCCAGAGGTCATGTAGCTTCTCACTTTCTACAACTGTTAGCACAGGTTCCTCTGCCTGGGACCCAGAATTGTTCCTCGGTTCTCAGGGGCTGATGAGCGGTGTTAGAGCTTCATCAGTGTGAGGTGTACATTGTCAACTTGTGAGTCTTCACGATGCTTCTCCCCTCCCTCACAGCTAAGTCGTGGCACTGTACAGAAAGGATGTCTGCTCATTTAACCAAATGGCAGAAACAAGCAGCTCGGTTTTTGCAGTACTTCCTGGAATACTGCATAATTTCTGGGGCTGCAGCAGTCACGGCACCCATCAGCTGTCATGAGTTATGTTGTGAGCTTGGTCTGAAGACCATAAAGAGTTGGAAACTGCTGTATTTTGACTATTGGGTCTGTAGGGGAAGAGAAATGAACGGCTAGGCTGGTGAACAGAAGCCAACCACAAGTGGTTGCTATAGAGATAACCTATATTATGCTGAGCAGATTGGTCAGGCTGTGTAGCAGACAGCGTATTTTAAGTCTCGGAGTAAAGAAACTTTTCTACCCCCTGAGCAGAAATTGGCTGACTCAAAGAACAGTCTCCATTTCATACAGCAATGCTGCCATTTCCTGGTGTGATGGTTGGACTTTCTTGCTGCACCTCCAGCCTCCCTTTTGTCTCCAGCATTTTATGGGCAAGTCACTTCCAGACCTCTTCCTTGGTCTGGGATAGCTCTCCTGAATTCATAGTTCAGATGATGGGAAGGATGATGATTTGTAGGAGAAGAGTGTTTTCCTCTTAGTGTCTGATTCAGCTCAAAACCACACTGGTGTCCAGTTAATTAAGAGACATTGTCAGAATAATGGGTGGCCACCATGGCACACAGGTAATTGTTTTGCACTCTCCATTGCCAAAGGACTCTGCCGGATTGTGCCATCTTCCCCCTTTTCCACCTTTTTTCTCGTTTCACAGGATTTTGGCTACTTCCTCAGTAGACAAGGGGCTGGGCAGGCTGAGGAAGTGCACTGTTTTGCAGGAGGAGATCCAGTGCCAGGAGATACCTCTGCGAGGTACAGTCCTGCTTCCCCTTCCCAACACTTGCTTTGCCATGGGTACGAGGGAGTGCAGAGGCTGGGTGTTTCAGAGGGAACTGGGCACATTGCTAAGTCCCGTGGATCAGCACTTCATAGAGAGAAATGCAAACCCACAGTCCCAGTGGTTGGGAGTGATGTGTCTGGAGGCTGCAAGACCTCTTCTGCCACAGCTTAAGTCTTCCCCTAAACTCTGCTGAAATACAAGGCAAAGTTTTTTGTTTCCAACATATTCATTACTGCTACGGTTGCTGATAGCATTAATTCTGAGTCTTCCTTCTAAGAGGACAGCAGATATAACTGACCTCTGTAGTTGTAGCCTTCTCTGTATTTATTCTGTTTGCCCAAGGCTGACAAGTACTGTATCCATTTCAATTCTGTTCTCCTCCTTCTTCATTCATTCAATCATTCATTCAATTTCAGGAAAGATTAAAGGCTCCAAAAATGTCCAGGATGGTGGCATTGCTATTGACAGGAATTCAGATTGGATCCTGGTAAGGCACTGAAAATATCTGTGGCTGGGAACAACTATATTTTTCCAAAATGCTGTGTATTTTTGCTGGGAAATGCAAATGAGCAGACATAACAGAAGGATGAAGGCTAAAAGCTCTTGGCTGGATACTGGCTGCTTGGAAAGCCAGCTGGCACATTGCCAGCCAGGAGGGAGAACTGAGAAGGGCCCTTCTCATCTGCTGAGGACTGCAGTGGACCTTGTACTTCACTGCAGCCACCCCCACTCATAAGAAAAGGGAGGATTGGCAGAGGAGGCTTAGGAGAGCCACCAATTTGGAGGCTAACACCTTGGTCTGGTGAGCCACCCAGCCCCACTCTTTGCCTCAGCTCAGGGCTGAAGTCCTGGGTAACCTGATGTGGCAGGGGTCACATCAAGGAAGGTGCTTTTTTACTCTCACTAGGCTTTCTGTGCTTTGCAGGGGATGCTGAATGTTTGCCAGATGGCGTCTTCAGTCATCCTCTGCCTATGGCTTTGCTCATCATTCATTAGCCTTTCCTGCCGCCCCCACAGGCTTGCCTGCAGAAGAAGCACCGCCGAGCCTTCACCACTACCGAGGACATGAATGGAGTCTGTACTCTGCTCACCACCGACTTGCGCTGCACAGCTTTCCTCAACCTCACCAAGATTGGTATAGGAGCAAAGCTAGTACTGTGCCTTTGCAGAGAGGCAGAAATAACAGCACAAGGCTCTGCTCTAGCAGCAGGGACCTTCTGGGTTCCTAGCCAGCAAGGTCTATTGTCTACTGGGAGAGACCTGAGCTGAATTTTAACATGTATTATAGTGACTTCAACAGGGTTACGAGGTTCAGCCTTGAAGATTAGCACACAGCAGCAGGGATTTTCTGTTGTCGTGTCCCATGCATCCAGCTCTTAATCCAGAATTTCGAAAAGCATCGACATTCTTAGTGGATGGAAGAGACAAACATGCACTGGGATTTTTAAAAGTGCCTGGGCACTTAAGGCTGTTCCTTCCAACTTAACCGGGCTATTAAGCATTTAATCAAGGGAACAGAGAGCTGGTCTGATTGTCTAGCCTTGCTCTGCTTATTGCTGTCACTGCAAAGAAGCCGACAAGTTTAAATTAGACTCTTAGATGGTCTAGTTCCATCTTCAGTTGTCTAACTTCTATTACTAGTCTGATCCTCAGGTCTTCTGCAAATTTGGGAACCTGGGTGGAAGCAGATCCTGAGTTTAAGGTGTGTTAATTAGAAGAGTATTTTCAAAAGGTAGACTGTATTTTTTTCTTGCTTTTTAAATTCTTTAGTTGAGACCAAATTAAACAGCATTCAAAATAAAAATGGCAAAGATAAGATTACTGACACCAGCAGCTCAGCCAGCACAGACAACACCAGGACTGCTTGTGGTGAGCTCTTTGGCAGCACAGGGAACAACCACATGTGCAAAGGTAAGTACTGGACAGGAACAAGCATTACTTCCTTCTGTATTAGCTGAGTTTGAAGCAACTTGCATTCATGTGGTGGGAGAGAGCTGGGGAGGGAAAAGGTTGAGGTTTTGAAGGTTATTTGTAATGGTAAATTTCAGTCATTGTTACAGTCATCACTGAGATTTTTTAAAAATATAACCTGTCACTACAGCATAGACTACATCACCAGCTAGACCTGCTTTCAGAATGGCTGGATGGTGCTGTAGTCAAATTTTTGGTTGTTTAATAATATGTCAATGTTCTTGAACCCTTGCTAAATATTAGGCTGTTTAGGTGTCCTGTCAAATGTCCTTTTATATTTAACTGCATTGACAGAGCTGGGAACAGAGATTGCTGTCATTCTGGGTGGATCAGAGAACACCAAGCCAGATGATTTCCAAAATGCCAAGATGTCTATCCTCAATATGATGAAGTCAATGTGGCAGAAATGCTCAAAGGTGTGTGAACCTCCTCAGAGTCTCATAATCTGATAAGCAGGATGGATCAGAGCTCTAGTGAAGAATGGAAAGTCTCCTGGTTCACATAATTATTGCTTTTTAAACTTCACAGTGATGCCGGTAATAATTCTACATATTCTAATGCAAGAGTTAAATGTTAGTGAGCCAAGGAGGAGGAGTAGCTGAAGAGGGAAGTGGAAGAGCTAGGAGTGGGTTTTCATGCCAGAAGCATGCTTAGATATTTTAACAGGCAATCTCTCAGGGCACCTTGAAACAGTACACACAAAAATAAGGGATGGGGCTTATAAGCCATTACTTTAAATTATTTAAATAAATATGGGGACAAAGTGAGGCTGAGCCATGTGGTCACAAAACGTCTAGCCAGATAGATAAATACAGGAGCTTCAGACAGAGAAATCATTGCCTTGAGCCAAAGAAAATGAAGTAATTTCCTGGAGCTGATCCAAAAGGGATCACCAGAATACAAATGTGTGATGGAGTCAGAGGGATAAAGACAATTGATATACCTATTACTTACAATATATGCTTTCTGTGTTTGTGCAGTAAAGTTTGGGACTAAACTTGGCACTCTGAGGAACTTAGGGATCCTGCCTTAGATCTTGTCTAACCAGCTCTGGCTTTGCCATCTGCTTTCTCCAGATCAGGTTTGCTGTGGTGCAGTATGGAGCACAGATCCAAACTGAACTGAGCCTGCAAGAAAGCTGCAACAGACTAACTGCTTTCTTCAAAGTCCGAAACATCAAGCAGCAGAGCTCACGGACTGACATCACAGCCACACTGCAGCATGTGTTGTGAGTTCACGTGTCTCAGGAAGCTCCAGGAACACTCATGTGATTCCTTGTGTTTCATGTGCATCAATCCAGCCTCCTGCACCTCCTCTCTACTCTTCTTTATCTCACACCCTCAAAGCCCTCACTTCTCCAATGCTTCTCTTAGTCACAGGCTCTGCCAGCTGAGGCCTCTGAATGAGTCTGTCTGGGGGACCATCACATCTACAAGGAGAAATTGCCAAGAGACAAAGTGTGAAATCCTTCCTGGCTGACACAGGGGCTTCAGAATGAAAATTCAGTCACTTGGGCCTTGCTTCAAGCATGTGTTCATTTGTCGACCCAAAGCCTTTCCCATCTTTTTCACTGATCTGCTGCATCTCTGGGACTCATGCTTTCCCTCTTGACTCCATTTTCTTCTCAGTAGCATGACTAACAATACCGACATGCACTGTAAAAATGCCCCATACGCTACTTGTGAATGTGCTTGTGAAATCAGAGCTACCAGCTGTGGACAGCCAATACACTGGGAAAGCATAAATCCTTGTGCACTTTTGCCTTGCATGTCTGTATTCTTGTAGGCTGAGAGGTCAATGAACATTAGCACCCTGCCACCAACACTGACATTTCTAGCTCTGCAGACATGGCTTGTCCCATGAAATACCTCTAGGCTTCTGTTTCCACAGAGATAAAGTCTTCAACAGCCATGACTCCAGCTGGACTGATGACAAGATAATCATTGTCATGGCATCTGGGCAGGTGTTTCTGGAAAACCATAGATTGAGAAATGTAATGAACTCCCTGGAAATGGCTATGGTCAAACTCTATGCTCCTGGGGTGAGTGGGAAGCACCATCAAAGCCCATATATAGGGGAGAGATATTTCCATCCATCCCATGCATCTGCTCTTATGCTTTAGCAGTGGGTGGAAGAAAAAGTAGTCATGCATTAAACTTGCAGGATGTCCAGCCTTGAGATGCCCTGGCTCCTTTGATTCACTCAGGCCTCCATCTTCTTGATGCCAGAGAGCTTACTTTGAAGGAGGTTAAGGAATATATCCTAGAAACAAATATGCTTAAGTTTTATATGTCTTGTGGCTCTAGAGCTTTTATTATTTTTTTTCTTTGCAAATAACGGCTTTCTATGGAATCTAGGATCAGGGTTGCTTTACCAAGCTTTCAGAAAACTCCCTCCCTTTTCAGAGTTTTCAAGTTTTTAATGACAATTGGGGAATTTGTTGGGTTTTCCATCTGTGTATGAAAGGTGCTCAATCTCTCTGTCTGATGGCTTTTCTCCCTAGATTGGAGAGTTCATAAACAACCAGTGGGTCCCAGAAGAGCTGCAGAAAGTTAGAAGTGACTGGTTCGTGCTGTCCACATATGAAGATTTTGACAGTTTCCTTTCGGATTTGGAGAGAGAGACTCTGAGTGATTCAGGTAGAAGAAATCCCATTCCTGACACATCTACCTTCTCTGTAACTTATAGAGTGGATCTCTGATGGTGGGTAGTTTCGTTGCTCAAGGAATGTAAATACATCTCCAGATCTTACCTGTTCCTGTAGTTACTTGCCCAGAAACAGCAAAACAAATAAAAGTGATTTCTGTTACACTAGTAACAATCTTCCTCAGCCAGACAACTGGGAGGACAAAAAATTGTATTCAGTATCTGTGACCTGCAGCCATAACATCAGTATGGAAATAGGTGCTTTACAATACACACATTCAGTACATGTTCAGTGTTTCTGTTATGATACATTTCTGGCTGTGCTCAGAGCAGTTTATTTCTGTTGAACTGTAGCTGTATTTTTAAGATGCAGTCCTGACCCCCACAGCTTTCAAAACTCACAAGTATTTCCATAGCAGCTGTAGTCCTGTGCCTGAAAGCAATATTGACTGCAGGGACAAGGAAGAGTTCAGCTGCAAGGCAGCAAGGCACAGGAGCACCGCGTAGACAATAATGCAAGGTTTTTGTTCACCTTTTGCTTTCTCTCCCACTGCCCTGTCATCTTTGCTCAAACTTGTTTCTTGTTTCAGCTGAAAATATTCCAACTGAAGCACCGGATCACAGAAACACTAATGACAGTGGTGACAGCAAGCTCCCTTCCTGGATAGAGGAGGACAAAGAGGAGGAGGAAAATGGCTTGCGTATGTGGTGAAGTATCTTTTGACAGAATCATTCCATGGACTGACAAAGTCTGGGGAGCTGCTGTACCGTGAGCTGCCAGACCTGAGCTGTAGCTCATGTTGGAATGACAGCTGAGCAGTCTTGGTGCAGTTCAGTTGCTTGTTCAAGTGAGATTACTTGTGCATTGATCAATAACACTGGATAAAGAACTTGGTGCTGATGAAAGGCTGCTGATTGCCTTCTCCTCATTCCTTTATTTTCCGTATCCTGGGTAGCTTCTGGAACAGAGATTGCTTTTATTCTGGATGGATCAGGGAGCATTGAGCCAGAGGATTTTGAAAGAGCAAAAGCATTCATCCACAAGATGATGAAAACACTGTATGAGAAGTGCTTTGAGGTACTCTCTACTCTCTTTCTTTAGCAGGCTAAAGAATATGCTGTGCTTTATTTAAGCTACCTCTTCACCAGAATTTAGAGGTTTGTTTCCATTAGGATGGCAAAGCACTTCCACAACTGTCATGTATTCTTGACATAATTTTGCTTACATCTTAGCAGTATGTTCCCAGTCTTGATCCCAAGAACACTGTAGATATAAAAAGTCTGATTTGTATGCTCAGAAATCCCTAGCTCTGCTATGTTGCCATGCTTGGAGCCTAGTGAGCACTGTCTGCTTTCTTCTAAGGTGACAGCCATGACTTTCTTCTGGTTTCCTGTCTCTATTCCTATATTGTAACATCTGTACCTGCAGTCACAGAAGCACCAATTAGACTGCCTCTTCAGCCATGCACCTTACCAGTCTTGTTAGCTGCGATCATGTATTCTGCATGAAGGTACTCTGCTGCTTTCTCCGCCGAGGCTGAGAAGTGTGACCCACACCCCGACTTTAGGAAAGTCTCTACCTCTCAAATGCTCCAAGCATCAGCATATTTTAACTTGTTATTTGCATAGTGGAAGGAAGAAACATTATGTTATGTGTTGTGCAAATACAAAGTGAAGAAATGGTCCCATTCTCCAGACTATCTTTGATAATGAGGTCATCATGGAATAGGAATACTCCAAGGAAAGACAATGTGCAGCAGGGAGCAATGAAGGAACAATTCAGTAATATCACAGATAATCCCCTCTGCAACCTGCACATGGACCAAACACAGCAGGAAAGTGCAAGGACTTAAAAACAAATCAGTGTTTCCCAAAACAATTCTCTCTGTACTGATAGAGCTTTCGTTTTCCTCAGCTATAATATACTTACAACAATCTCTGTGTCTGCACTAGACATATTTAAAAGCCACTTTCTCGTAAAAAAAATCCTTCCTGCATAGTCTGGCTAATGTTTCTGTTGGGAATTTTGGGCCAGCTGTTGCAGAGAACCCTCTTTCTCTGAAGCAACAGTTGGCACAAGCAAGTGCTTATCTGCTGTTTCCTTCCAGTGTGACTTTGCAGTGGTACAGTATGGGTTTGAAATCAGAACTGAGTTTGACCTGCGAGAAAACTGGGATCCTCGTGCCACACTCCAGAAAGTACTTGATATTGTGCAGGTGTGCAATGTGACAAAAACAGCATCTGCCATGCAGCATGTCCTGTAAGTAAAAAAGAAAAGAGCAAAAGAAATTAAGGGGATGAATTTCTGGGGCATTTCATGAATAAGGGAGAGGGACTTCTACGGACATTCAGGTCCTGAAAGCAGTCATTTATCTGGCAATGGTTGAATGGCAGGCAGCAGTTCCTGTGCCATGTTTTAGAGGGTTATAAAAGCCAGCTGATGGTGCCTAATTCTCAGCATGGGGGTGCTCAGGAAGCAATAGAAAGGGAGACAGCACCTGGTATTTTTAAGATGTGTGAATACAAAAGAAATTCTTTTGCCTCCTTGCTGTGACTGTTAGTTGTAAGTGCATAATTCAACAAGAGTTTTCCCTCTATCCCAAGGAGGGAAGCTTCAGCTCGAGGCTCATCCCTCTATCCCAAGGAAGGAAGCTTCAACTTTCATCCCAAGTTCTTTGTTTTGATGTTTTACCAGGGATTCTATCTTCACTGAGAGTCATGGGTCCCGCAAGGATGCAGCCAAGGTCATGATCGTGCTTACAGATGGGGAAATACTCCTGGATGAAATGAACTTGACAACAGTGATAAATTCACCCAAAATGGCAGGAATCAAGCGCTATGCCATTGGGGTAAGTTGGGAATGTACTTGGATCGTATCTTCCTTCCATTTCTTGGTAGCACTAGGGACAGAGAAAAGGAGAAACTGATCTATGCATGGTTCCAGTAAATAAGGGAAGAGACATGTATAAAACAAGGAGGTGAAAGATAAAGCTACAGTATGAACTGATACTATAATCTATGTAGTGTCAATTATGTGCCTATGTTTTTTCCTTCCTACACCTACTACATTCAGTGCCCTGTATCCATTTACTCTCAGACTTTTCAGAAGAGTCATGCTTTCAGTAGAGCAGACCATCTCGTTCTTCCTTGTACAAAGTTTAGAAAAATCTTTCTAGAATGACTGAATCTAGCAAAGTAGTTAACCATAGTCAAGTCTAGCTCCACAAAGTGTGATTTATATTTCCTTATCCAGGTTATTCTGGAAAATGTCAAAGTGGTAAATAAAAAGTAAACCGTTTGCTGACCTACCCACCCAAGGACAAAATAGCAGAACTGAGGGGGTGTTGTTCATTGCTTGTTTTCGATCGCAGTCCTCCTGACTCAGAACTAGGCCAAGAATTTCAAGCTACCTTCTAGATGAAGTGCATGCTTAAAATTTTAAGTTTTTCAGAACAAAACTTCTGATATATCCTTAACTTGGCCAGCAAATTAGCTGGTGTGCGTCTTTGTCAACAAGAGTTTGTCCTGAAGTCTGAAGTTTGGTTTCAGGTATGCTATATGTCTCCTCAAATAATCTTCCTGCTATCTCTTTTCATTCTTTCAGGAGAGGAAAAAATCCAATTTTATGAAGTCCTGTAATTTGTTGATTTCCAAAATTAATTGTTGGGTACAACAAAGGTATATATACCAAATACAGCACCAGCCAGTTACATAAAGGGGTTTTGTAAAGGTTTGGCTCCAGGAGGCACTGAGACTGTCTGATTCATTGCCTTCCAAAGCAACTGCTATTTCTGGGTTTACATATAGTGGCTGAAGCTGAGTTTTTTACCACAAACTGTTGAATGCAGTAGGTGGGAGTAAGGAGGCTCTAAAGGCTGTTTCTTTTGATTGATTTGCATCTGTTCTGCAGGTGGGAGATGCCTTCAAAAAACCAAAGGCCCTAAATGAATTGCAGCTAATTGCATCTGGTCCAGATGACACTAATGTATTTCAGGTGACCAATTATTCAGCATTAGATGGGCTGCTTTCAACCTTACAGCAGAATATTATTGGTATAGAAGGTAAATAGATTCATAGAATCATACAGTAGTTTGGGCGGGAAGGGACCTTAAAGATCATCTAGTTCCAACCCCCCCTGCCACGGACAGAGACACCTTCCACTAGATCAGGTTGCTCAAAGCCCCGTCCAGCCTGGCCTTGAACACTCCCAGGGAGGGGGCATCCACAGCTTCTCTGGGCAGCCTGTTCCAGTGCCTCACCACCCTCACAGTGAAGAATTTCTTCCTTACAGCTAATCTGAATCTACCCTCTTTCAGTTTAAAACTGTTACCCCTCATCCTACCACTACACTCCCTGCTAGAGTCCCTCCCCATCTTTCTTGTAGGCTCCCTTTAGGTACTGGAAGACTGCTATAAGGTCTTCCTGGAGCCTTCTCTTTCCCAGGCTGAACAACCCAAACTGCCTCAGCCTGTCCTCACAGGAGAGGTGCTCCAGCCTTCTGATCATCATCAAATAGCAACCTTTCTATTTTGTTAGTACCTTTTGAGAAATAAGGAGAAAGTAGCTTACCCTGTTTCTACTGCATCCTCAGGTACACAGGGTGATGCTCTGGAATATGAGCTTGCACAAGCTGGTTTCAATGTGCAGATCTTGGATAAGGTAAGTGTTCTGAATGTAACCCTGCTAAACGGTTGTATGCTGTGCTGTTGCTTCAATACTTGTAAGCATTCAGGAGGTCTCCCACAGGAAATTATGGTGGTACAAAGGTGTGAGACCCATGTAGTCAATTCTCTTTTGAAAGCCACTGCTTGCTTTGAATATGTCAGATAACCGAATGTAGTCAGTCAGTAGCAAATTTTATTTTAGGATGGGATTTATCTAATGTGACCCCTGTTCTAACCACTGGATCCTTTTTATTCCACTGGGCAAAAGAGCTATTTCCAGTTGACAGCTTTGATTTTGCTGGCGTTCACATCTCCAATGCACAAGTCAGGGGCTCTGTCACGTTGCAAATAAAATAATTCTGCTGTTTTGGAATGCTCTGGCTTAAAACCTTGGTCCATCCAGGACAGGAATGATCTATGTCCTTGTTGGGAGGGGGAAATAGTGGATGTTGTGGAGGATAGTGAACATTCAGCAGCCTTGGCTGCCAGGACAACACTAATCCAGTTTTGCAAAAAACCTCATGTAGTGAACTGGGAGATGTGCAGCTGCTTCTCTGGTGCTGGGCAGTCACCTTGTCTTTCTTCAATATCTGGCAGGAGCTGGTAGAACTGCCCAAGCTACAGGGTCTGGGAAAGAGTGAAGTACCTGTAAGCCAGAAAACATTGCTCCTGACTTAAACTGCTTTGCAGAGTGCTAGAGGCAATTGTCCCGTGTTCATCTCTTCTAATTTGCAGTATGTTACTTCTGCAGCAAGTCTTAGTGTTTGGTACAGTGGGGGCCTTTGACTGGTCTGGTGGAATTCTGCTGTATGATCTGGCAACCAAGATTGCTATTTTCCTGAATGAATCTAAAGAAGAAGCCAAAAAAGCAAAATACAGTTACCTAGGTAATCAGCTTACCCCTCTCTGAGATCAAATGACAAGCTGACTGTGGTTTTGCTTTGTTTGTTTGTGTTTAGTGCAGTATGACGACACTGACAGCATTTACCTGAAGAAGGCCACCTCCTGCAGCATCTTACTGGATTTTGAATATTTTCTTTAGCAGGGAGAGAGATTCTGGTGAAAACACTCTCTGTCTCCTTATTTGAGGGAAGACACTACTTGTTTTCTCCTATGAGTTATGATGCCTCGTGATATTATTCTGTTAACACATGCCATTTGGTTTCACTGTGTAAGAATACTTGCAATGAAGGGCATTTTTGAGAGCTGATAAGGAGAAATATTTCACTTGTTATGAGTGTCTGCAGAAGAAACAGCTTGTGAATCAATACTGTTCTTGGCTTGGTGACAAATAAATCCTTGCTTATTCACCCCAGTGCTTTGTAGCCTCATGAGCCCTGTACCTCCCGACTGTAGCCTTGGCCATAAAGTCTTACCAGGTGATATGAGGTACTGTGGGCTGTTTGTGTCAGGATAATCCTTCTCCCACTACCTTCCTGTTACAGAAGCCCTGTAACAGATTTCTTTTTGCTTTCAATACAGAGTATAGTGTTTTCTTCACTTCTGTGAAGGGTGATAAACCTTCCAGCTTGCGATGTAATAATTAAAGAAAAAAGTGTGTATGTTGGATGATCACTTAGGAACTATGACAAATGCTAAGAAAAGTCATCAAGAGTTCAGGCATATTTTTCAGAGCAGTAATTTATTCAATTACCCTACACGCTGTTAAGAGAGGAAAACCTCAGCTTTGCCGGTTTTTCTCTCACAAAAGTTACCTGCTATTTCCTAATCAATATTTTAATTATATGCTCTGTAATTAAAACCATGGGCCACAACAACTAGACATGGGGCAAACTCTTGGATCTCACTGAATATGTACGTCTCAATATGTGTGTCTCAGAGCAAACTCTGTGGGCTTTTTCCTTCAGGCATAGAGTATGGTACTGATAATTTATGCTATTTTTGCTTCTTATGTGAATGCACCAGGGTACAGTGTGGCAGTGGTACACACAGAATATGGACCCTTGTACGTGGCTGGAGCTCCACGACACAGCATGAGAGGGAAGGTGTTGGTGTTTCAGGACAACCACTTAAAACAAACCCTGCAAGGAGAACAGGTACTGTCCTTCAGTCACCCGGGGCACTCAGGTCAGTGGGGGTCAGGTGGGCTGCACACATCTTGTTTGCTCAAACAGCAGATCCATTTTCTCCTCCAGACACACTTGGATTTAGCCAGATGTGGACTACACAGTCTTTGGTCACTCCATAATGCTTTTGGAACATCAGAAGAAATCATGAAATTTGGAAAAAGACTGGGAAAAAGATTAGCTAAATGGGGTGTACTCTATTTATGTTCTGTTCTCATGGTTCATGGGGAAAGAGGTCATCAACTGTGGTATTCTTTTTCCTCTGTCAAATTGTTGAATAATGATTTTGTTAATGCTAAACTGGTTACAGGATCTGTCCCTGAGGATGGCTGTAATAAAATAAACAATAGGAAATGATCCACATATAAGTAGATATGTGATGTTGTGTTCTAAAAATTGCCTTACTGCTGCAAAGGACACTAATTCTACAAAGCTATATATAGACAATTCCAGTGAAAGAGCTGCTTGTCTTTTTCTGGAGCACAGGTTGGATCTTATTTTGGATCTGAGCTCTGCCCACTTGATGTGAACCATGATGGGGTGACAGATCTTCTCCTTGTTGGAGCTCCATTTTATCACATTCGAGGGGAAGAAGGAAGGGTTTACGTCTATCGCCTGGAGACAGAGGTAAAAACACTGGTAGCGTAAACACTCCATGTTGGGGATTTTCCAGCCATGCCTAAGTAGTGACAAATAAAACATTCCTCCTTTGTGCTCTCACTGAATGTGCTCGCCCTGTATGGTAGAGGACCACAGGCTGAAGCCAGCAATCCTATCTTAGTCATCAGAATATAAAAGAGAAGTAACTAAAGAAATAAAACCATTCTGTACCTAAGGTATACTCTTATCACAGTGTGTTAAAATCATGTCTTTTGCCTGTACATAGGCAATCTATTGGTGCTGACCTTGCTCTGCCAAGCAGTGTTCTTTGCAATGTTTGCAATAAATGTGTGCATAGGTAGCTGCTAAAACTTTGCTTCCTGGGACTTGTAGAAAACAAAATGTTTTGTGTGCCTAGCTACAGGGTCCGTTACACAATATACAGCATATAAGTCAATTGTGTCATTTTGAATGAGAAGTGAACTTTGACAGCAGACCAGGAGAAAACCTTCTTTGGTGCACTGCTAAAATTTGCTCAGGGCATGAACAGGATGGTTGGAAACAGAAAACAACAGTCCAGGCATCTGTTTAGAATTCAAATAAAGTGCACCCTCTTGTGGCTTATTTCTGTAATAGGGTGGAGAAGATGGGATCGTTTCTGTTGTGAACCAAGCTAGGAATCAACTAACTCAATCTGCTATTGAGTCAAGAAAAGACAGTGCTTTAGTCTGTCTGCTTGCATAGGTTTGTCCAGAGACACTGCTTCTGTGCGAGAATTTGCATGCTCTCAATGCAGAAGGATCAAGCTTTTGTTCCAAGCTGGTATCTTGAACTTCTTATTCTATTGTTTAGGGTTTTAAGCATTATAAGTGTGGAGTCAGATTTGTGGTTTTTTTTAATTAATGTAAGAGCTACTCATGCTACATTTGATATAAATGGATTTCCTTCTTGGATGTTTTTCAGAGTGGTTCATTCACCTTGAAAGGACACTTAAATGTGCAGGGGACCTCTCCTTTTGCAAGGTTTGGGTTTACTGTGGCCAGCATTGGAGACATCAATGGGGATGGATATGAGGATATTGCAGTTGGAGCCCCTCTTGAAGATCAGCTTTCAAACAGTTCCGCTTTTGGCAGCATTTACATCTTTAATGGTGATAAAGACAAGATCAAGAGCTCTTTTTCTCAAGTACGTGTCATGTTGGGAATTGGCTCCAGTACACATTGAGAGGGAAAAGCTTGTGTTTTTGTAGCAAGAGGCTGGGAGGAAGGACTTCCACATTTCATTTGCATTGATGGGTGAGAAATTTGCAGATGACAGGTGCTTTATGTGACTCCACAGGTTTCTGCAGCAGAGCTGCTCCTTAACTGTAATTATTCAGCTGTCTGCTTAGGCAAAAGAGCTGGATTCAGGTGCTTCCTATAGAACAGCATAGCCTTTTGCAAGCCTGCCCATCCATGACAGGAAATTAAGGCAGCATTTTGCATCTCAGGAGTGTTAGAAAACCATCCTCACAGCAGCCTCGTGAAAAGAAGTATATTTTCCAAGGACAGGAGAGAGATCCTGAGTTACATTTGTTGATGTTTCCCCCCACCTTTTAGAGAGTAAAAGCCTCTGAAATTTCTTCAGGACTCCAGTATTTTGGACAATCCATTGATGGTGGCTTTGATTTCACTAATGATGGTCTCCCAGATATTACAGTAGGATCACTGGAGAACGTGATTGTGCTCCGGTAGGTAATAAGTGCTATTTTTTAGTGTGCTGGGGAAATGCTTCAAAGACAAATATAGAATCTGTGTTCCAAGCACTGCATAGTGATTCTATTTTTAATTCAGCATCAGAGGGACATAAAAAAATCTTTCCCAGTGCTAGAAATTACATAAAATGTAAAGCCTTTAGTTCAAGTTGCAAACTTTTGCCTTTGTATGTCTAAAGCTTTGAACAGGTATCAGATAGTGAACATGAACTGATTAACATAGATCTAGGTCTAAGAAGACCTTGATGTCTGCAATTCAGCACTGATAATGTAGGTCATTTAGACAAAGAAATAATTTCTTTACATACCATACCTCATTTTCAATCAGACATCTGGTAGCTGAGTGACCTGTGCAGTTCACGAAGGCTAAGACATGGCAGGTAGATTTGATTTTGTTCTTGCATTTTGTGTTTGAAAACAAATTGTAGACAAAGAGAGAATTTGAACTGCTAGATAATGTGTTTATCTAATGGAAACATAAACACCGTGTTTAATTCTGAAACTCTAGCCATATTGGTGTATTTTGGCTGTCTATTCCTTCAGACTCTTGGGATTTTGTGTGTTCTGAATGTTCCCAGCAGAAACTGGAACTTCTGTAAACAGGCCAGCCTGGTCCAGGTGAAATACCATGGAAATACTGAGCAGTTCTTATTCTTGTTGCCAGGCTTTCTTAAAATATTCTTCCTATAATGTTTCAGTTCAAAAATTTGTATTTTATTCTGTTTCTTATCTGTTCTTCACTGACTAGCTCAAGACCAGTTGTCCAGTTTCTCACCAGCATGAGATTCAACCCTGAGAGAATCCTAATTTTACAAAATAACAGCACCGTTACAGCAAAACTATGTTTCGATACAATCTCAGCTTTACCGGTGTCTCAAGAAGGTAATAAATGGGAATTGTGATCAGATTGAAATCTACAGTCCTACACTGTCCTTGTAACTTGGCACTGAGGACAATTTCTGTAACATCTAACAACGGATTTTGAAAATCTTGCAGTGTTTTCACAGTTATACATTCTCTACACGGTGGACTTAGATGTGAAAATGGCAAAGAGGAGAGTACAGTTTGAAGATCAGAACACCACAAGAAGTGGAAAGCTGTTGGTCAGCAAGCACGTGTGCTCTGAGCTGCAGCTTTACACACTGGTAGGTAATGTTGGTCAGACTTACTACAGAAAGGAGGGTTGAGAGGGTAGGATTTTTTAACAGAATCTGCATGATGATGAATCTTTCTTGAAATGCAAAAATACTACCAGGTGGGGTTTTCTCAGTGTTAGACTTGCTGACGATGTTTTACAGCTGAGGCAGGAGATGTGTCGTGCCATTTTGGTTTGTATCACTATAAATCAAACTCTTATCCTTTTGCGTGTATGTAAAGTATTTCTAATCCTAGAATTGTAGGAGAGGCACGAAGCTCTACAAGGTTAAAGCAAACGTAAGGAAACCGTTTTTCACAATGCGTAACTGAATCACCAAACACATTATCCAGGGGATGGTATGGGAGCCAAATGTATAAAATGATCCAAAAAAACATTTGTCAAGCTTATGGTCCACTGATGGCTATTAAACACAGTGGCCCAAAGAAAACGTCTGAGCCAGAAGGTCCCTAAATATGCCAGAAGCTGGAACAGAGATGACATGTGTGAAGACTTTTGCATTTTAATGCCCAGATATTTTCTCAACTTCTTGTTCTTCCTTTCTTGTAGCCATGTGACTTTGACTGCTTTTCCAGTGTTTTTCTGAGAGTTAAACACGAGCTCTATAAGAAAAATGATAACATAGAGTTTGCTGTTCCTGTGCTGGATAGATACCAGCCATCAGAAATGCATTTTCAGGTAATAAAACAAAATGCTACCAAAGAGCTTTCATTCTTTCCAGAATGCAAGGCTTTTACTATTAAAAATAAAAAATGTGGTTTTCTTAGCTTTTGCATGTCATCTTCTCCCCTCTGCTCCCTTTCTAGTTATCAATACTTTATTCTAGGTAGACTTTAGGGCCAGGTTTTCCACAAACAGATACTCGTATCTTGTTAAGATAATCTCATCTCTAAGGTCCAACCTCAGATCTGCTAAAAACTTGCTTTACTGTTGACCATGACATTTCTCCTGTGCCTCTGCATAAAATGAGATTAGATGCTACCTGTGAAGAAGGCAGATGGTTTGTGTGATTTGTGAAGTACTTTTCAGATTTGAGCTCTCCATTGGAACTTATATTAAGACTTATTATTTGAATGGTATATTTGGTTGTAACAACTATAAAATTTTCTAATGAAGTAATCTTAAAAATCATTAAAATGATGTATATATTTTTTAGTTTATTTTAGTTGTTTGTTTCAAATCTGTATTTGAGAGGCTGCATACTTCTAATAAAGGTTAAGTCTGATATCCTGTCTCTTCTATTGCAGTTTAGTAGGAGGATTCCTACAAGCTAATCTAACTTCTTCACAGTTAGTCTGAAATCCAAATCACAGCTTCTGAAAAAATTCCATAGAGCTCTGTAAAGAGGCAGCTTTTTGCTACTTAATAGGAGTCTTTACCACAATTCAATATTTAATTAGCTGTCCATAAACCATAGGACAGAGAAGTTAGGACAACATTTGGCACTTAGCAATAATGAACACTAATTACTGTAGTTGCAGTACTTGCAGCGATTATGATGTTGATGGTACATTTATTTCCTAAGAATAATTCATGAGACTCTCAAGTGTTGGTCAGCATTGCTTAGTACTTACGCACCCAACATCTAATTATTAATTATCGTTAAACTTCTCCAGAAACATCAGCCACAGACAGTAGGTTTTTATTGGTGAATAAAACTATTGCTAAAGGAAGTAACCTCATCTCTACAAAATAGTGTGCCTATAAGCTGGTACAGCATATGGACATATTTATTCAAGAAAAACATATCATCTCTGGAAAAGAAATTAATATTGTTGCCCTGTGGCAATCCAGGGGCAAACAACTGGCATTTCTTTAACAAGACCTTGGCCCCAGTGAAGACTTTTCATGTTACTGCTAACAGACCTTCTCCTGGGAGCTGAGTTACAAAACATCATCAATTTAGGACTGACTTATTACCAGAGGGTCTTTTATTTCCAACTTTTCCTTAATTGAGGTCATGGGAATTTTGGTTTTCAGAGAATGTATGTGTATATGTAAAGATATCCTGAATCTGCTACCTTAGAAAAATTAGGACTGTTAAAGTCTGACTTGATCTGTTTGCTTTTAGTTGCCTTACAAGAAGGACTGCAACAACAAGACCATCTGTACTGCTCATTTAACTTTGACAACTCAGATTCAGTGAGTCACAGTGGTGGTTTTATCCAGATCTTGCATTCATATAAAATGTCATCTTTGTGCATAAGACGTTTTCTTCAAATTCTCAGACAAGATTTGCTGTCCCTTTTTTTACATTACTTTCCATCCAATTCATCCTTTCCGTAACATCACATTCATACAATGCTGTAACTGTGTGCCTCCATGGGTGTTGCGGGGCCATTCGAGGAAATCTCAGAGGAAAGACCAAGGTATAAATGACAGTCATCCTAAAAACGCAATTCTGGCATTTAATTGTGAACATGTAATTTTGGTTTAGGCTGGTGCACAGCATAGCACTACAGCAAAGAGTTGCTGGGTTTACATAGCCTTAGACAAAACAGTAGGCATCACTTCATTGTAAAAAGCTACCCTGGAGATTCACTTGAAAAGCTAATCAAGCTGAGCAATGTTTAAAGTCTATCTTGATGTAAAACAGAAATGATAAAATGTTACATAAATTTGGAGATGACTGCCTTTGATATTAAGAAGGAAGCATTTTCCTACAAACCCTGAAGAATACTGAATAATTAATTGGGCTATTGCATTATTCTGTGTGTGAAAGCATTTGGAGGGAGTAATTACCAGAACCAGAATGCTTCAGGCCTCTTATTAAATAACAACCCTTAGAAATCACATGTCACCCATCTTATTTTTCTGTCTGCTTCTAGAAAGGAATTAGTGGTGGGCCACACTAAAGAAGTGACCATGAATGTTTCATTAACGAACAGTGGAGATGACTCGTACATGACAGCTATGGTCTTGAACTATCCCAAAAACCTACATTTTAAGAAGGTGACTGTTGAGGTAAGATTGTAGAACAACTCCTCAGCCAGCAGCAGACTGCTGGAAGAAAACGCAGTGCAGACTCCTATTAATTTGCTACCTAAATAAATCTTGAAGTAAGGTCCAGGGAGGGGAAGGAGCATTGCAGTTGTTAGGACTAGAGCCCAAATGCTGGATTTATCTGATTTAAGACTCCAAAGCTTTTATTAGGCTATTTGTACCTAATTCGTTTTATGGGAGCAGACACAGGCTGAGTTGAATTTCCCAGTCTGTTTTTATTCAACATTAAAGAGCATTCCTATTCTGTTGGCAGCCATCCTCTCCTGCTAGTCACTGTAGCCAACCAATACCATTAACTTCTGTAGTCTTATCCTGTAACTGCAGAATTGGGCATCCAGTATTCAAGACAACAACTGTAAGTAGAGATCATAATTTTCACTTTTTCCCTTCCTCTAAATGATACTTTGAGTAGCTGCTTTTGCATCCTCTATCTCTACAATTAGGCCAAAGCCGCTATTCTTTCTAATTCAGCTTATGGCTGGTGTGCATTTTCTCAAGGCAAGAGAATATTGCCTTGAGATATTTCTGCACTTTTCTTAATGTCTAATTTCTCCAGAAGGGAATGGTGAGCAGCAAATACCTTAGCCATCATGTTTTAACAGTACCGTGTTGAAAGAGTATTTACAAGGTAATCAATATTTTGTTACGTCTTTCTCTTCCCTCAAAACAGGCAAAATTTTCAGTGATTTGGCAATTAGATGAAAGCCTGTTCCAAAATAAATCTGCAATCACCATTAATATCACCAAGTGAGTATTGCTATTTTCACCACAAAATACACTGAACTAGAAAGGAGATACCAGAATTTCTACTCAGTGTCCATACTATTTATCAGTCACTGGTTACACAAAACTACACTTGTTCTTTTCAATCTTCTGAAGCATTTGGATCCATGTGAAAAATCTTTCCTTCCCTTATGATAATTTTAGCTTTGCTCATACTTCATTATTTCAGTAAAAGATGGAGCACCCTTTAAGGTCCTACTTTCAGTGTAGTACATATTTAAAAGCTTGTGTTTTCTGAAAGGGCAGAATGGGTTCTGGCATCCTCCTTCCTTAGTAGGGAGAACAGATGATTAAAATATATAATCCAGCTCTGTTCCAAGTAAAGCTTTCACTCCAAATGACTGGGATGAAAACATATGTTCAGGGCATTCTTCTTAATTAAAGGCTTTCTAATGGGGGGAAAGTTACCATTCAGATTCCTTTCTTGTCACCTTCCTCCCATTAAAATTTATGGGGACTGACTAGTACACAGCATTTTTTAAGCCGAGAGCACCTTTAAAAAGGAAAAGAGAACTCATCTCTGGCAGCTACACATCCTTGCAAGCACGGTTTAAGGCAAAGGTTTCTATACAAGTTTAATGTCCAGTTTTGTGAGGGGTAGAAGCTTGAAATTTTGATTAATGAAAGCAATACTACATATTCACAAATTAGCGTTGGTTTACGGGGAGACATTTCAAGGCAATAGCAGCTTTCCAAATCTGTAGTAATAAAGGGCTACTTACTCCAACACTACTGTACCAGTAGTGTCACCAAGTGGGCTGGCACCTCTCCTTTCATTAATTACTGCCACTCTGTTTCCATCCCTCTTGTACAGCCAGTATTAGCAGTTCTCACACCATAGAAATAAAGGACCAATGCAGGCAGACAATGATGTTGTTTCATCTACCCTTTTTTTTTTTAAAGCATAAATGAAAATAGCACCATTCTGACTGAAGAACATGTCCTTGATGTCAGATATGCATTCACTGCAGTCCTTACCAAGTAAGTTTTAAGAATATTCAATTATATTGCATTACTTTAGTCAATTAGAGGAAAGAAAATTGAGAGGATGTCTGGTAAGATTCCAATACAATTTCCATCTTAATAATTTCAAGCACTGCAGATTGTCAAGTCACTTTCTGTGGTACTAGACAGCAAAATAGAGTCTGGAAGACAGAACAATAAAAGCCTATCATAGGCAGTGGGGTACCTAGGGTCTCTAACTGCTTACCTTGTAAAAGGTAGACTTCAAGATAGGTTCAGAGATGGATCTAATTGATAGACTGCACATATACACACATATATAGACAGACTGCATAGACAGCATTCCAGTTATAACAAATCTGGTGATGTTACCTCTTAATTACTTAATGCATCTGGGTCGTTGGATGTACTAATTTTTAATAATAAACTAATTCACTTTTCATTTAGTTTGATTTATCGTTCTCTTTAGACCAGTTTCTTTAATGTACGTGAATGTTAGCAAAGGACTTCTTGAAAACAAAGAATTCAGATTTAATGTAAGTATAGCTTCAAATTTAGATCATCTGATCCATCTGCAATCAGGACTAAAGAACACTTACTACCTTGTGCATTTTCTCCCATAGATAAATGGAGAAAATCGCTTCAATGCTACCATCAAGTTACAGATTTGGGTTCCTATCAGTATACAAGGTCACAACATAATAACGGTCAAAAATGCATCAGGAACACAGGTACTTTTTCTTATTTTTCATGATCAAATACCTCTTCACTGGTTCTTACAAGAGGAAAAAAAACCCACATTATTGCGGATTGGAGTGTTTTCAAAACCTACATTACAGAAACTTTACATTTTGTAGCATCATTCCAGGTACAAATTTTGCCAAACTGAACAAAAATTCAGTTTTAAAACCAAGTCAAAAGGTAGGTTTTTCCCCTCTCTGTCCCCAACTAGGCCAAGAATATTTACCTTTGTCATCACTGTCCAAAATTGTATATTTTTTCTTTTTTCTTTAAAAAAAAATTTGTAAGGAAGACAACATAGTAAGGAAAAAACTTTTAATAATCCAAGACTAAAAAGGTAAGAAAATTTCTGTGGAATTCAAAATATTAATTGAGCCTGTAGAAATCTCCCCCCCCGCCCCTTCTCAAACATAAACTCTGCTCTCTTCCCCCCCATGACTCCTTAAAAAAAGTACATATGGAAACCTCTTCAAGCAGAAGACTTTTTTTTCAGGTTTTTTAGACCGTTTTGATATAGTATTATACACATCGGTAACCGATCATAACACTTCTTCATTGTGCCAACATTTAAAAAGATCATACATAAAAAGCAGCAAAGGAGAAAGGCAGCATCAGTGACTTAGTCCTTGGAAACACTGCACTGTATTGCCTACTGGAAGAGGCTGCTGTTTTGTAAAACTTCATTGGCAGACTCAAAGGTCAGTACTTCTTTGCGGAACTTAACGAGCTGCTTCTTTATTTTCCTCATGGCAGAGGTCGATTCCTTTTTCTTGTAGCCCATGTCTTTCAAAAGTTTGCATGACAAGTAGTGCAGCCAGAGGACGTTGCTGTGTGGGTGATAGTCAGTCCAGCTGTTTGAGTTCTCCGCTTTCATTTGCCTGTAGATATCAAACTGGTAGTCCCCTGTGCCTTGAAACAGTTCTTCATCAGTGGAAAGATCACAAAACACAGTTAACCCATCCTTCTCCAGCCGAGACAAGGTATAATCTATGATGTTGACATGAATCCCCGCTGTGGGGATTGTGTGCGTTGCCCCATTCAAGACATAATTAAGCTCCTTTGCATCCGTTTTCTTTACCAGCACATTCCCCCAGTGCAAGTCTCTGTGCTCAAAGTGCAGTTCCTGTTCTGCCACAGCCAGGGAAGCAGTGACCTGGTGCAAAATGCTTTTTGCCGATGCCACCGAACTGAACATGTTTCTCATATTCTCCAAGTCACTGCCTCCAAATTCAAACTCCAGAACAACGAAGAGCTGCTCGTCCCCAAAAAGGTCTGGCCGATCATTTTCTGATCCCCTTACTTTGTGGTATTTGTCCCAGGCTTCTAGGAGATACTTAGGATAGGCCCCTTGAACACAGTGCACAGAGTACAAGCTGATGAACCCAAGAGTCCTATTCCTAGACTCTTCAGACAGAAGACTGAGTTCTTTTGAAATTATTATCTCAGGCAGAATTTCTCCAAAGCTCTTTTGAGATTCACCATTTACTTTTTCAGTCCCCTCAATGGGAATTATTTTTAAGGCCACAGCTCCTCTCTCACTGTCAATCTGGAAGACCTCTCCGAACACCCCTTCTCCAATTTTCTTGCAATCTTTCGTCTTATCTAAAGGAATGCAGTCCTGAAAAGTGATAGGCCCCTCCTGGTGGCATTCCCCAAACACCTTTTCTGCATCTGTAAGCATTAGCTCCAGGACAGAACAGGAACTCCTTGGAGCCAGCAGGACCATGGAGGAAGCAGACCAAGTGGAGCACTGAGTCCTACCAGCAGATAGGGTTCCCTGGTGCCCTGACAACTGGGATTTCACAGAAGGGGTGGAAAGGATGCTGTTGCAGGAACTCTCTTCTGTGGTAACTTTCTTCTTCTTATGGAAAGACAAAGACGCTCGAACTCTACCCCAGGAATGGGAGCCATTAAGGAATGAATAGTCATTGTCTCTTTTGTCTACAGACATCTCCAGAACACCCTTCTTCATTCCTTTTTGCTTCCTCTGTGGTCTGAAAAAGGAGTTGTTAGGCTGCTGCTGTCTCTTAGTTTTGTGCCTTTTTGGTCGGAGCCTTGTTTGCCTCCCCCACCGGCTGGCACTGAAGCCGCTGATGCAAGCTTTTCTACAGGTACTTCCCTCTCCAGAAACAGCTTTGGTACTTTTATGTGTATTCTCCAAGATTCCTTGAGGGCCCAAAGGAGATACCGGCTGCTGGCAGGCAGGTTGAATACCTGCCTTTTCGTTGAGTTTCATGCTCATCAGCCACACTGGCACTTCTTGAGGGTCCAAGACCACCACTGGCGTAAGCTGGTACTTCTTGGGTGTGCCTCTCTGACAACTCAAGCTTCCTTTTGTTGAAGGCCTCCTTAGCTCATCACACGATTTGTCAGAATCGGCACCCTCGTACGGTGCAGAGCGCTGTAGCCCGCTGTCAACGGTGGGCAGCGCTGCCTGAGGAGTGCCGGTGGCTTTCCGTGGGGACAAGGGACCTGGTGCCTGGCAGGGTCCCCGCACCGACGCCCTCAGAACCCTACCGGACTCCTGCAACGCCGGGCCCGGCTCCCGCCGCCCGCCCGTGCCGTTTGCACGGGACCGTCGAGCCCCCTCTTCCCTCACGCTGTCAACCCCCGGCGATAACGGGAGCTGCTCCGAATCTTCCCGACAGGACTCCAACGAGCTCAGAGCCCTGTGGGACGAGGCAGTCCTCTGCCTGGGCGGTAAGGAGCGGAGCTCCAGGCTACCGTCCAGCCCGGAGCCGCTCTCCACGGTGGTGCTGAACAGGACGAGGGAGCTCAGCTCGGTCGCCGGGGCCCGGCGGCGGCGGCGGCGGCGGC